GGGGGATTCTTGTTGATGTATTTCCCATGATAAATTAATTCGTTTTTTTTATTTTTATTTTTTATTGTAGATGTAATGGAACATATGACGGGAAAACAGTTCAAATACTTTGTTGATAACATGAGACGACCCGATGCCTCCCAGATATACCGCGACAGAATCACAGATCTATACGAGAGCTGTGCGACCGTCACAATGAGGAGGGTGAAAGGAAGAGCGCCCCGGTTCTTTTTTGCCAGGACCAACAATGTTGCCTTTTGTAAAGCACCGAAGTCCGGGAGTACGTTTGTCGGGACGCTTGTTTCCGCTCTGGAGTACAAAGGCGAACTCGGAAATATGTTCCACGTCAACAGAGAACGTGTTCATGGTCGAAACGAAATGGATTTTTCTACTCTTCTTAATCATCAATCAGATTCCATGAAGATTGTTCTTGTGACCAGAAATCCATACACAAGACTCTTTTCAGCTTTTATTGACAAGTATTTTCTTCTGGGTGCGTGGGGTAAAGGCCTGGCAAGGGTCAAAGGTAAAGGTCGTTATAAGATGGGAAACGGTTACTGTGGATACAATGTGTCTTTCCAGGAAGTTTTAGATTACATAGCGACTAAAGGCACTGTGGATGAACATACTTTACCTATAACAAGCCTGTGTAACCCGTGCACCGTACACTATGGAATTCTCTGTAAACAGGAGACGCTCACCGCTGATATTGAACACGTGATGAATGTCATCAACATCACCCAATCAAAACGACAGGCCATTATGAATATGATAAATGGTATAAGTTTGAACGATACTCTCTTTGCCTGGATTTCCTCGCATTTGCAATATTATAATAATTACAAAATTGATTGCTCGGACAAGATCCTTTTAATGGAAAAACTATGGCAAGCTCTACAGTTACAGGGGTACATCAGCTTGACCTTGTCATTTCCAACACGTGAATTCAAGGTGAGAATAAGTTCCTAGCGACATCTTTATCTAGACATCCTCGATATCCAGGAGTTCCGCTCACTTTCGCTCTCTGCACCCCTGGAATATGGCGGTCGCGTAACGGTAAAACTTACTAGCTTTGAAGTCGGGCATCGCTCCTTTGTTGTCTTCAAAGAACAAGTATCAGTCTGAACGATTGGTCAGGGCTTTTTACCTGACACTAATCAAATAGCTAGCTGCGTTCCATCAATTTTTCTATGCTGTTTTCAGGCGAGACAAAGCGTATAAGTTCCACTGGAAACGGGTTTAATACGGTTAATTTCTTTAATCATCACTGGTTACATTTAGGTTACAACTGGCCATTTTGTTGGAAATGTTATCGTTCCAGACGTCACTGGTAACAAAAGTGAAAAGTGAGCATTTGATATTTCACAGTCATGTAGGAATGTTATCATTTTAGTCTTCACCTTCACAAATATAACAATGTTATCATTTGAGATTTCACCGTCACAAATGTATCAATGTAATCATTTGAGATTTCACCGTCACAAATGTATGAATGGTATAATTTTAGATTTCTCCGTCACAAATGTATTAATAGTATCATTTGAGATTGCACCGTCATAAATGTATTAATGGTATCATTTGAGATTTTACTGTCATAAATGTAGTAATGTTATCATTTGAGATTTCACCGTCACAAATGTATCAATGTGATCATTTGAGATTTCACCGTCACAAATGTATGAATGGTATAATTTTAGATTTCTCCGTCACAAATGTATTAATGGTATCATTTGAGATTTCACCGTCATAAATGTATTAATGGTATCATTTGAGATTTTACTGTCATAAATGTAGTAATGTTATCATTTGAGAATTTCACCGTCACAAATGTATTAATGTTATCATCTGAGATTTCGGTCAAAAATGTATCAATGTTATCATTTTAGATTCCACCGTCACAAATGTATCAATGATTTCATTTTAGATTTCAACGTCACGATGAATTAATGGTATCATTTTAGATTTCACCGACACAAATGTATTAATGTTATCATTTAAGATTTTACCGTCACAAATGTATCAACGGTATCATTTGAGATTTCACCGTCACAAATGTATTAATGTTATCATTTGAGAACTCAACGTCATAAATGGATTAATGGTATCTTTTGAGATTTCACCGTCACAAATTTATCAATGTTATCATTTAAGATTTCACCGTCACAAATGTATCAATGTTATCATTTGAGATTTCACCGTCACAAATGTATCAATGTTATCATTTGAGAATTCACCGTCAAAAATGTATTAATGGTATCATTTGAGATTTCTCCGTCACACATGTAGTAATGTTAACATTTCTGATTTAATTGTCCGAAATGGACAAAAAAAAAAAGGTTTCAGATTTTTCATATCATCCCTGCAATAAAACAAACCATACTTTTCATATTGAAAAGTCCTTAAACTTCTATTAATACATTTTGCATATAGAGGGTATTTAAGGTATCGGAAACCACTGCATAAATTCGGATAATGTTGAAAGAGTTCCACTTATTTTTCTTGGAATGTTCTCCCTTGTATATAGAAGATGAAGCCACCAAAAGGTTTCCTTCGGGCTTTGAGTGACTTCTCCTGTGCATTTTTTTCATATCTCATGTAAATGTCCCGAGTTCGACCCGATTAATTTTCTTTTTACGATTTTGTTGCTGTTGTAGTTTTTTTTTTTTCTAATTTCAGACATTCAAATTTTGAAAAAATACTACAATACAGTTAAAATACATGGCAAAATGGGGTTTTCATGGAATAAGGACTGGAACAAATATTTCCCAGTTGTGTAGTTTAACTTATTGGTACCGTTTTCTACTTTACCTTCATAGTTTCCTGTTGAATACATATACATTTTACGAGTATGGTATAATTCTATCTGTTATCGTACGAGTGCGTAGCTATTTTTCAAAATTCTGAAATTTACACTTAAATTCGTCTAAATGAGATAAAATCTAAACCTTGACTTCAAAATTAATACGTTATTTGATTTATTTTCACAGGCACTGACTGAGTTTAATGCAGAAGGACTGACCGCGCTCTTTATAAAGCTTATCAGCTCCTCACCACTTTCAAAATCGCAAATGGCGATGCAGAGGAAGCGTGTGTTAGCGGAAGCCTATAGTCGGGTTGATTCATCTACGATAACCAGCGTACAAGCTCTATTCGCTCAGGACTTTCACCTATTCGGCTATGATTCATCTATCCCTGTATAAAATAGAACAGACGCATCAGAGAAACAGACGCTGATTAGCTGATTTTGGACACGAAAGAGCTGATTGGACAACGTTGCATAGGGAAAAATTCCTTTGACTTTCTTCATTAAGATTCGTCAGTTTGGAAATATGTTATATCAAACTTTTATTTTCTATTTAAACAATGTACGTATTAAACGTGTCGCAATGTTTCAAGACCGACTTGTGCCTTTGTCAAGCTATGACTGAGTGAGCGGTTTGTATTTTTTACCTGTTCAACGATGTGACGAAATTGAAAATTGTTTGTGTCACTCGACCCGGGATGTTTCGCCTATCAATGGGGATCGAATATATACAGTGCATCCGATAGGTTCCAGGTAGGGTGAAGATCTAGTCCCCTCCCCTGTTATGTCAGTGTCGGGTCATACAGATGACTCAGATGGTGTCCCCCGTCGTCTCTGTTCATGTTCTGGGTGACGGATTACACACAAGAATTACAAGATTCAAGATTTTTTATTTATTCCAGACACACATGTCGTTAGTAGCAGGAGGTCAATCTTCATAGGCATTTTGTAATGGCAGACCAACTAGATAGATAGATGCAGTTTAAAGCAAATACATACATACTAGACATAGCATAGCAAATAATAGCATGCATGCATATAATATCATACATACATACATACATACATACATACATACAAACATACATACATACGTACATATACTAGCATATATACAAATAATATCGTACATACATATAATAGCATACATGTATGCATACATATAATAAAGTACATACATATGCTAGCTACATACATAGAAAAGCATAATGTATACATACATATAATAAAGTACACATATCTGATAGCATACATATATATAATAGCATACATACATACATACATACATACATACATACATACATACATACATACATACATACATACATACATACATATAATAGCATACATACATACATATAATAGCATGCATACATACATATAATAACATACATACATACGTATAATATCATACATACATTCATATAATAGCATATTTAAATACATACATGTAATAGCATACATACATATAATAGCATACAAATATTATCATATAAAAGCATACATACATACACATAATATCATGAATTCATACATACATATAATAGCATACATACAAACATACATATAATAGCATACATACATACATATAATATCATAAATACATATAACAGCATACATGTATACATATTATAGCATACATACATACCATACATAGCATAGCAAATCACTGCATGCATACATATCATAGCAAAGCATACATACATACATGGCATAGCTTAGCATAGTATACATGGCATACCTTCATATATAGCAGAGCCTATTATAGAATAGAATAGCAAAGCATACATGGCATACATAAAAGCGTTTTCCTTGTTGAGATAAGAATTTGCTTATTTTGCTGAGCTAGGAATAATTACAAATAAAAAACATACTTTTCATTTTTACAATAGTTGGATTGATATAATAATAATTGGGAATGCATTTCTGACGGATTTCAGTAACAGAGTTATTCTGACATTGTTACAACTAATGAAATTCGCCACCTACATCTGTTGTACATAAAGGATACATTCTTTCCTGTCGTGGGACGCCTGTCCATCGACCTATTTCTATTGGCAGCCTTAAATTGGACATAGTAAATTTACACACAATTTCCGTTCTTCTGGGAAGAGCTTCAGCAAATATGATTCAAATTTTCATTCGTTTTTGAAAATTGAATAGGTTTTACCACGAGAAGAACTATCTATGTCATGATACCATTTCTGGATAAATTGATCGATTAATCTCTTGATTTAAACATTTTTTTTATTAGCATCAAATATACAAAAGGATTGGGCACAAGTTGTCCAACTTATGTAAAGCCCTTTCATTTTCATGCTGTAGTTATTGTATTTCCAAAGGTTAAATCATATGTTATCGGTTGCTTACTCTTATATATATTGCGTTTCCTTTTTTTCTTTTCATAGCATTGTACAATGATATGTATATGCATACGTAGTCTATAACATAACATCGTAATAGGTTCAGATTTTCCAAATAATTCAACTCGTACGTAGTAGATAAGATATCTCGTCAACACAACAAATACTGTTAGATACAAGATAACATATACTGGAAATTTTATTTAAAGGTGCATACATGTAAAGAAAGAACATTAGCCCTTGAGAGCTATTATAGCGACAAACATATGTAAAATAATAAGGCATAGTATTGCAAGGCAATCCATAGTCCCCCACCAGCAATGATTTCTATATTTAACAAACAGTACACTTATGTCAGGAAGTATAGGTCACAGTGAGGATATAGCGACCTTTTTCTTCCAACTTGTCACCTCAAGATGTCATTGTATACCAAATCTGGTTTATCCAGGTTAAATAGTTCAGAAGATTTACCATGAACAATCTTTTTAAAAAATTAAGGTCATAGATCAAATCATAGGTCACAGTGACATCCTTCTTGCACTCTGGCTCCGTCATCCGAAGATGTCCTTGTACACCAAATCTTGTTACTCCAGGTGAAATAGTACTGTAGAATCTTTTATTTTCGTGGGGTTAAAATTTCGTGGATTTCATATACTAGCCTGTTTCAAGGACATTATATTTTGCTGATTTCTGATTTTCCCCTATCTATATCAAACCAAATTTATGTTTTCGTGGTGATTTAAATTCGTGGATTTTTGTTATCAACGAAATAAACGAAATTTAATGTCACACGAAAATTAATGATATTAAAGTATAGAAGATATGCCCCGGACAAACATTTCAAAAATGAAGGTCAAAAGTCAAGTCAAAGGTCACAGTGACCTTTTTCTTGCACTCTACAGTCCGCCATCCCAAGACGCCTATGTACACTATATCTGGTTTTTCTAGGTAAAATAGCATTGAAGATTTGCTCCTGTAAAACAATTTCATAGGTGAAGGTCAAGGGTCAAGTTATAGGTCACAGTGACCTTCTTCTTGCACTCTGCACTCCGCCATCCCAATATGTCCTTGTACGTCAAATCTGGTTACTGCAGGTGAAATAGTATAGAAGATATGTCCCGGACAAACTTTTTCAAAAGTTATGGTCAAAGCATAGGTAACAGTGACCTTCTTCTTGCACTCTGCAGTCCGCCATCCCAAGATGGCCTTGTACACCAAATCTTGTTACTCAAGATGAAATAGTATAGAAGATATGTCCCGGACAAACTTCTTGGATGGAAAGACGGGAGGACGGAAGGAAGGACGGACGGACGTAGTGCATACCTTTAGTCCCCCCAGGAACCGGTGGGGGACTAACAATAACACGTTGTATCACAAGTAGAGGGAGATACTCACATGTACGTTATTATCAAAGGGGTTTGAATATTAATAAAAAATAAAAAACAATAATTATTACAAAAAAGAAAGCATGTTTACCAGGTTTCTAAGTGATTGGGAGTCCCCTTCCTACCAAGGTCCCCTGGACATGGAATATGAATACGAAAGTTATTAATCAAACTAATCAGCAATAAATATGATCCCATAAAGGAGTATTCAAAATAAGTCAATAAAAGACAAAGTTTATAGTGTATACTTGTATATTACACGAAAATCACTTAGTACATTGGATAGTAAAGCACTATGAAGTGGAATACACATTAATATAGTGTGAAATAAAAAAATACCGAAATCAATTAAGGCGAATTTGTCAAGTTCTGTAAAAGTTGTGTTTTAGAAATGTGTGGAATTGAAATAAGAATAAGATGCTTCAAAAATGTCGAATAGGATTGATAAATAACGAAATGAAATAAAATAACAATAGTATTTACAATTCAAAATGCCAGGTGGCAGAGGTAGCCATGGCACACTATGAAGTGTTACTCTTTACAGATATTGCAAAGGTAGATGGGGACTATCCCATGTAAGGACCAGCCTCATGAATTCTTCTTTTTTCTCTCTCCAATTATTTGGAAGTCATAATGGAGACTATTCCACACCCGGGAGGTTCTGTTGACTTTTTTCGTACAGGCATCCGTTTGATGTAAGTTGGGAAGTTCGGAAGTAAACGGATTAAGCTGTGCAATATACGTTATTATACTGGGATTACTGGTTAATCACTTGGAGCTTTGTTTAAGTACAGATAAAACATATACGATTGAACGTTAAAAGAAATATTTCCTTCTAAAATGAAGAATCGTATGTTTCAGTCGTTAACTGTGTCTCCATCAGGCCTGAAAGGTTTTTCAGTCTATGCTGGTATTAACGTACAAACGATCCAATCCAGTACCTGCAAAAAAATAATTGTCGGAGTAAAATTCATCGCAAGTAAAAATAACTTCTTATGATGATTTCTTATCAAACTAGTTTCAAACTATTCATCCTCGATACTCCAGGGGTTACGCTCACTTTCACACAGCATCCCTGAAAAAGGTCATAGCAAAATTGAAGGAACGAATATAGCTGTTTGATTGGTCTCAGGTAAATGCAAAACCTGACCAATCGCTAGTCTGATACCTGTCCTTCGGAAATTACAAAGAAGCGACACCCGACTTCAAAGCCTGTCAATTTTTACCGTTACATGACAGCGAGATTATTTTGATGTGTATCAAAGGATCAATTTTGTTATGACATATAAGTATAATCCCTAGAGTGTCGAGGATGCAAACTATTATGACTGCGACAAAAATATACATCTTAAATATGTGGTGGAACATATTCAAAAAAGGGATCAAATGATCATATGGCCTATACATCTGAATTCATGGCTATGTGTATTGTCTAATCATTATGCCTGAAAACTGACAGAAAAGAAAAAAAGACTGTTTCCAATTTGGATTGAATGCATATTCAATCAACAGGACAAAAAAATTGGCAAAGATTCGTTGGTTAATTCCTTTTTCAAGATGGCCATCAAAACATTCATCCTACTGCCAAATCAGTTGTCACATTCCCAGACAACTTTCTTGCAATATCAATGGAATTCAGAGATTGTGTGTTGGTTTGTTACTTTGTTTTTATTTATACATATATTTTATAGTAAGACGCGCTAATAACAGCTGATGACATTAACAGATAATATTTCGTAAGATGCAAGAGTATGAAATGTGTTCGAATGGTAGACTTGGAAAAACGACGGAAGAGAAAAAAGGATGAAAAAGGTATACTTGGTGTATGAGCACTTATTGGGCATTGAAAAAGACTTTTATTGGATTATTATCATATAGTGCCGTGCTGTACTGAATCCAAACATTATATTTAGTCTGGCCCTTGTGTCTGGAACGAATCTGACAACAGATGAGGTCTTGAGAGTGCTGATACATCCATATTTAATTATCTCCATCATCAGTCTGATGCTAATGATAACGGGTTGTTGCCTCACGTTATAGTCCTCAAATATTCCAAAGTGAGCTCTGGAAAAGTGAGTGAAGATGCATTCATGCGTGAACAGGGCCCTTAAAACAGGTCCTTGATGGTTAAGAGAGGAAAACTTCTAGTAGTTTCATCCTCAAAACAATCTGTTTCAGATTCTCTTTTGCGCAGATACCTTATGCAGCACTTCGGACAAATACTTACATCTTCATTTGAGCGATCTATGCCACTTTTAGTCGGTGTATCCAGAAGTCATTTATATTGCGGATTTGTTTACATTTCGTGTACCTTTACATTTACGAGGATTCTAAAATGTGACAAGGATATTGCATTTATCTCAGAATTGATTATTAACATAAGCTTTATTAATCACGCCAAGTGATGAAACAAATCTGAATTTGGATTTTTTTTTGTGACGTTACATCCACTGAAAAGTTTATAGTAGGCTTGCAACGAATTTCATTACCAATTACCTTTAATCAGGTGATTGCTTTCTGGTGGACGCAAGGGAGGTGTCTTAGGCCCTCACCCTTTTTTTGTATACACTGGGTACTTTGTTGTGCAAAATTATTTATTTCCCCACTTGTTTTTGACTGAATTTCTGCATACGTATTTGAAATAGGACCAGTTCTTCATACTATGAAAGGTTTAGGCATACAAAAATAATAAGAATGAAGAATCCTGTATTTTACATTAAAATTTGCACACAATTATCGATAACCCTCGCATTCTTGATGATAAATAATATAGATTTCAGCATCACATGAAACAAAACGTTTTTTTCCAAGTTAAGTGATGCAAAAATGTGATTTTATTCTCAGAGAAATGAGAAATACTTTCAGGCTGTAAATAGTAAATCCAGATGTATAAGGGATTGAAACAAGTCAAAACAGCAGCTTTAATCTCGCAACACTTCTTAAACGAAAGGTAAGAGGGGGGGGGGGGGGGGGGGGGGGGGGGGGTAATTCAAAAATTACAATTCCTTTGTAATTTTAACATAGCTGGAAATAGTCCCTTTAATGCGTTTATAGCCTATACATAAATTGACATTTCCTGGCGACACATGTACTATATCAGTGATAATAGAGAACATTGTTACCTGGTTTTGGCGGAATGTCTGCATACGGATTTGCTTCTGATTTTCTTTGTAGATCTTCGTATGTGTTACTACAATAAAAATATTAAACAAGTTTTGTTCGATTTCTAATTAACCGAAGAACAAACCACCAATAACAACAATGTGCTTGTTATTAAATGAAATATGAACTTACTCGTTTTTCAGTGGACACTTACTCATTTTTCAGTGGACTTAATGATTGTGTTTTATTTATATTGATTTATTGTATAGGAGTTCGAATTAAGAAATAGGTTATCTAAAACGTCTTCCCTTTTAACAAAACTTCTGTGTCTTAATAACAGCATTTTGCCTGACAGATGTTGATAACAATCGGACAAATAATACGGCACAAGTATGATACGAACAGAATAACACATAGCATTTACCTTTCTTGGCCAGCCGCATTGTTATAATTGTCTGCAATTTCAAATGATGAGATAAAGGCAAGGTAAGTATACAAAATTAGACATATCGATACAAGAAACATACACCCTCACCCACACACAGACACTCACCAATAGGTGATAACACTTTTAAAATTTATGGATAGATACAGTTTGCTAGAAATAAATTAACCTGCTGTATGCAGCTGTTTCGTCCTTCAAGGACCTATCGGTGATACTAGAGACCAAAACGTTGAAAATCCAAATTGATCTTAATTTCTGTGTAAAACCCCCTTTTTATCACATAATGAACTGTGTTATCCAGTGAATATACCCATGTCATATTTTTTAGCGTATTAACCCATGTAATATGACCTATCAGCCCTGTGATTGATTGTAAGTATTGTTTCAATTGTGACGTCACGCCTAGGACAAGTACATGACGTCACAGACTTACGCACTGGAGTCAAAATGGCGGCTTTTTTCATTTCAAGGTTGTATGAAAATTGTCGTTTTACACGAATAAATGCCACAAATCTTGATTATGGGATAAAAAAAAGATCTTACACTCGTTTGCATTTCATATGAAATTTATGAAACTCGTCACGAATTTTTCATTTTAGCGAGCTTCTTGAAAAATATATGAAATGGAAATTCATGTAAGATCCTATATATTTTTTTTTCTAAATTTGAAGGAGTACTGGTAAATTCTGAATGCAATAAAGTAAAGTGGGATATTATGAATCATGCCACTACTCAAAAATGAGATTACTGTGGCCATCAATGTTACGAAAAACATGTATGCCAGGTCAAGCAATGTTAAAATCCATAAATCGAGGAACTACAATAGGCTAGTCAACAGTTCCATACAGTAATGATTAATTTAATATTTACCCAGTGCATTATTAGAAACTTCGTCATACAAGGTCGGTGGCTCGATTTGTTCCAAGTTGAGGTCCTCATATCCCTGTCTAGTAACACGGTAAGGTATAAATCGTATGATAATACTACATTGTATTGAATTGTGATTACGTTGGTGAGTACTCTTACTATAGCATTAACACGAAATAATGATAGACAGTGCATATAAGAAATACCATGCATATTTTTTCGTGATGGTTGCAATACAAAACGATAAAATTGCAGACAGAATAATCAAATATAAATCTTATAAGAAATAATTTAAACATATGAACCTCCACTTCAATAGGTCTTTCTGCTACTGCTCTTCGGTATGGACATCGTTATCGTGTGAAAATAAAACTACCAGAGCGCATTTAACACATTGAGAATTCTTTGAAGAAAGGAATGTCGCGGAATTCATAAAAGAAAAAAACAATTGATGTAAATTGTCTGTTGTATTCCAATTTGTTATTAGTGCAAGCAACCTGATATGAAATGCTGATATGTGTTGTCTGAAAGAATTATTATCCTTTTAAAAAGTACGTATGCCACAAAAGCATTTCTACAAATGACTAATTGTTTGGAATGCTTCTTTATAAACAAATGTTTGATAATAACATTGGACTCCATGGTGACAATGAACATCGCGTTACCATAGTTTAATCCATACATAAATCCATATATGTATACATAATTATATTCAATAAAATAATCTGTTTAATAAATGGAATATCTCTGCAAAGATGATTGTTATTCGAAAACAATGTGTACCTATACTTCCCTTACTAGATCATTATTTGCTTACTGGTACTTGATACAAATATTGGTAATTGATTCAATAATATGTCAACCAAGGATACAAAATATCTGATTAGATTCTGACGTGAATATTAAACTTACTGTCCGAATCCACCTGTAAGTAATGAAATAAATTGCTTTCATAGAAGTTGTATAAATTTGAAAAACTGAGTGGAGATAGTAGACTCGTAGCATGAAAATATCAAAATGAGGTTAACCTAATGTTTATCATTACCATAAATGAACTTAAGTTAAGCTAGTGGCAAATAGAACACATTGAAAACGTAAAATTGCAAATGGCTGAATGTGTACATGCATGCATTGCTGAAAATATGTCAAGTTACATTTAAGAGAACTGCATATTAAAAATGAACTTATCAATCATTTGTAAGATCAGGAAATGGTTATTATGAATACCGCTACAACTTTTGGAGTCATTTATCAATGTTCAACAACAACATAGTGGTTAAGAGTGATATATAATTCAGTAAATACATTTGCTTAAACTTACTTTAGGTTCAACAAGCCCCCTGAAAGATGTAATAGTAACCCTGAATGTTAACCTCCTGACAAGTCATATTCAAATAACCTTATCAAAAATCGGAATATATATATGTAATTTAAATATATTGAACTTGTACGTGAACTATCAAAAAGGTACATAACCAGGGTAACGAAGTCAAAATACGGCATTAAGGCTGATGTAATTATAAAAGTTGCTCACAAGACTTATAACATGTCAATCTCTTAAGCGACCCAACTGAATGTTGAGAAATGGCATGCTATTTGAAGATCATTTATATACCTAGGTCATGCGAGGCTTCATTTATCTTTCATTTTCTAAGTGTGGAGAGGTATACCGGCCTCACAAGAAGATGATTTTTGCTATGGGAAAGTTCATAAATCATTGTAAAACGTCCGCGTAACCTATTTTACTGGTGTATGTGTGCAAAACCATAGACTTTTAGCCATAAACACTACTACTTCAACTTCATATATTTGTCCTTTCTTAACATTGAATGTTTTTTCATAAAAGAGCTAGATTTGTAACAAACATTTTTGTGCTTTTCAGTTTCAATGTTCATAACATGTCTAGCGCATTCACATATTCACAGAATGTCATCAAATGGCACATCATCTAAAGTGCATCTATCGATCAAGGTTACTTGGCCTTTTTTTCTTATTTCTAAATTGCTAAAATGTATTACCAGGGGATTTTAAAATGATTTTAGTGGTTTCGCATGGCAACAATCTTTATTGAGGAATTCCTCTCAACAGTTAGTAGAAGAGAAATTAAGCTCTGCATGACCTAGGTATATAAATAAATTTTAAATTATAAGTAATTTCGCAGCACTCAGTTGGATAGCAAAAGAAATTGACTTTAAGTCCAGTGAGCTATTTTTATGAAGACATAGGCCTTAATGCCTTAGTTTTGACTACGTTAACCTGGCTATGTATTTTTTGTATAGCCAATGTACAAGTTCAATATATACAAATACCATATATAAGTTCCGATTTTTAATTGAGGTCTTTGAACATGACGTATCGAGGGTTGAAATGTTAGGTGACTAGGCATATTTTAGGGGGCTGGTTGAACCTTAATACCCTTCAATATGTTATGCAGTGTAGCACTTTTGCATTGTTTTGAGTTGTTTTGAGTTGTTTTGACCAGCAAAAGAAAAAAGAAAAAAACATTTGCGAAACTAAGACAGTGGCGTCAGCTTATCTTGTGATTAAAAGCAAAACATTTCTTGTGTTCGCCAGTGAAAAGCCATATGTAGGGTAGACCTTGTTATGACACGTGTGTGAGTTCCTTGACATACTGAAATGAGCAATCTACACCAATAAAGTACAGTTGTATTATCAAATAAACATGAAATCCTTAATTACGACCGCCATCATCGAAATATTAGTTGAACATATTTACCTGTTTCCACTTGTCTATCGGTCTTACGTGTCAATGAGCTTTTGTTTGTTTCTCTCTGTTTCCTAAAAAGAAAAACGAGGGAAGGTTAAACATCATGATATTCACGGTTTGATATATTCAATCAGTAGTAGTAAATCACACAAAAATATTCAGCATTTTGTTCTTTATTCAAATAAGAGTACACAAAGGATGGGTGGCTATAAGGCCCCTTTTGGCCCCCGGCATATTTGGATTTTCACCTCCTTAATTTGTTCAAAGATGTCTTATTGTATCACATGCGCAAAAACTAGGGCAAATATTTGACCGAAGGTGGGTAATTTAGGTACCAAAAGGGGTTGGGTAAATCACAATATAATTTTCTGTTTTCAAAATGAGCTAAAAAAAAACCAAAATTATACCATTTCTGTTTTTGGAAACATGTGTAAATTAAACAGGCATAAATAAAAGAATGAATAATGACAGAAATTAAATCGTCACATAAAGATTGTTTATAGAAAAAGAAGCATTGAGTCAGGGGGTTGTTTTAAGGTAGTTTTCATATGAAAAATGTATATTTTGAATTGAAACTTAAACTTTACTCATTTGAGTACGTTTAAGGAAAAGGAACAAAAGGAAAGTATGTAGTGAATATGCGTTTTATACGCATATTCACTACATACTTTCCTTTTGTTTTATACTGAGTTATGGCTTTTGGACAAATCTCAAACTTGGCAATTTCAAATATCTCTCAATCTTAAGTGACTTAAAAGGTGCAGGACACTCTTTATTTGCTACAAGTATAAGATATCAATAGTTAATAATGTATATTATATATATCATATAATATTTGCTCAACACCTATGGCTGAAGTGAGATCCAGGTCCTGATTTGTTTTCTTACTTTCCACAACTATTTCAAATTGTTTCAGTGAGCACAATCAAATAAGGTACTACCACTTCACAATTTAATAACACTGCACCATACAGATATATATTCCGTCCTTCAAGTCCTTCTAGCACTCATCGTGGATGCTCAGGGCAAACAAGTTGGAAATCCAAAAAGTCTTGATCACCGTTGAAACAAAGGGACAGGTGCGTAAAACACCGTAATAATGAATTAAATAATGTAGAGGTGTACTGGTTAATTTTTAAATTGAATAATCTGAAAAGTGTGTATATTGTTACCCATGTCATGACTCAGAAGAGAAAACGTTATTAAAGCATGATAAAGAACGATTGATAATGAAAAACTGATGAGTGTATTTAAATCTAAAAAGTGAGTTTGAAAAATGGAGAATGCAGTATCTTACGTATATGGCAAACGTCCTCTTCCTGTAGAAACAAAACAAAAAAATCAGCAATACATTTGACAGAAATGAATAATATGACATTTTTATATCATTATCTGAATGCATTAATTTTCCATGATGAGACATCTACAACCCTTTAATTTCTATTCAATATTAAGAAAAGAATGTTTGTTGATCGGAGTAAAACATTATTTGTATCTTTACTCTTTTATGAACTTATTAAATATTTAAAGTAATAAATATAATTATATGTGGTAGTGTATTTATACTTACTAAGCATAAATAGCGTTACAGCAAACACGAATAGGCTCAACAGGATCATCGCGGATCCGACTGATATAAGGGCGACACCAGTATTACTTGATTCTGTAAAATGTGTAATATATTCGTGTGAAATGCCATTTTTTTCTTTTATCTTACATGTATTTAATGAAATATACGGAGCTCATACATTGCTCTATTTATTCTGGCGTAAGCAATTAAAAATGCAATGCTTCAATGAATGAAATCAAATGTACTGAAAATGAACGTGTATCGTCTGATACCTTCGGTGATGTTTCTCAATAGTAGAAAAAACAATCACTTAAAGTAATACGAGTTTCCAGGTAATAATCCACGAAAAATAGTGTGAATTGAGTGTTTGATCACCGCGCTGTACAACGATACATTACCTATTGGTATAGCATTTATTAACCACTATAACATAGAAGTAATCTGCAATATAGACAACAATACAGCATTTTTTCCATTAACAACTATAAGTTTTTTCACTACAAACTCATTGGTTAAACCTGATAGGAGTTTGTTAATATTTTGGTTACCAATCAGTGGATAACACCCTGAAAGAACTAACATGGGTTAGATCATCGAATTATAACGCCAAGTAACAGTGCTTTACGCCCTCATCTTCCATTATGACGTCATACATGTAGTTCATGGTGTTTGTTACCGATCGGAAAACAATAACAATGTATTCCCAAGAAAAACATGCACTTTTCTAGATATAATATATCAATATCGTGGGAGAAAATGGTCCCAGAACTCATAAGCTTGCACCAAACTGTACGTGTAATGCAAAAATATTTCAGATGCAATTTACCGTTAATCTTGAGGTCTTATTGTCCAAGGCCCGAGTCAAACTCCTTATTACGTTAAACAATTAACTAGGATATGAAATAAGTTAAATAATCTAAATTTTAGTTTTTCTGTGGATAAAGCCAAACAAAAATACTATTTGTATTACACTATGTGGCCATATCTTCCATTTAAGATTAACCAGTTGTACTACAGGTCAATGTTGTGAGAAAAACACACGAACAACGATCCGAAAAATATTAAGAATACTGCGAAAAGTCAAAAGTGTCTATAAAACCCATCAGGCACAATACCCTCTTCCAAGAGGGAATAAAAGACACGTGACAAATTTCACAACTCTGATAAAAAAATATTAAGGACCTACATTATTGTACCAATACATGAAAGTGTTTCTTTCTGGTAAATCTTAAGCTGAACAAGAAGGTTGTTGATTCATCCATTTTTTCTCCAACACAGAGGACCCAGTTGAGCGAAAACTACATAATTAACAATTAGTTCGTATTAACCATGAACACTATCGGCACGTTTTCTGTTGAAATTACTTCAGCGACATTCGAGACGAACTCGTAACGGAGGGATGACGCAAAACGGGCGACTGACACTGGGGCGACTTCGGAATAGGTCAACCTGGATATTGTTTCAGTTTAGCCTGTCTAAGTATCATGGGTAGTGTTATTAATTAAATTATTATGTTTTAAGATAAGTGTATGAATGAAATATTATAAGTGGGGTTTAATATGTAATTATTTCTTGTTTGTTCAGGTGTACATGTATTGTGTGTAGTATCTTGGTTTGTTCAGTGTCATTGTCCATGTGTCAGTTGTTCAGTGTCCTATGCTATTGTTTATTTTTTGTTCTGTAACCTGTGACCTGTTTGTGACCTGTAACCCCATATTTGTCATGTGACCTTCCTTACCTGCACATGTTATTTACCTGAGTGAAAAGTTCTGGCAGACATGTTTGAGGGGTTGATCATATAGAAAAGGTAGGAGTTAATATGCTCAAAATTAATGTAATTTTGAAGATACTCTTTTTTTGTTAACTATAAAACAAATTGTATTAACTCTCTAAATTAGTATGAGATAGTTTGAGTAACTATTATAGTGTGCTTTATTAATGTACAGAGGAATGTTCAGGCTATATGCTCTGTGAATAATTGGAAATTCGAAATAACTTTTTCTATTTCTATTACAACGATAATGTAAATATATCAGATTAGATCAATTATACACTACTATGTAACAGCTTTTGATTGTTCTTGCAATTACTGTAAACTCATTGGTTATTTGTTCAGATTCGCCTGCAGCTAGCCATTTATATATACTGGATTATCAGCATATTGGAACCCCTTGTCACATTGATAGAGTAAGTTCATTACAGTTATATATACTATAAATAATGTACATTACAAATTATATATGTTATTGGTCTTAGTATAGTGTAATATATTAGCCATTTACATAGGTTATAAAGTCTATTTTGTCCATTAGTATTGTTATATTAAGTCAATGACATCATTAAAGATATCGAGAAATAAATCATAAGGATGAAATATGATTAATAATAAATACTAAATGTAATTATACAGATAATGATATGATACCTTGTACCGTATAGTGTTTTAGTAACAAAGTGGTGTCTACTGTATGTTTCTTATACGTGTGTCATGTGTTCTTGTAGATTCATCCACCATGTCTGAGGTCCAGAATGAAAACCAGGAACGTGTTTGTTATCACGCCTCTGCCCAAATCCCATCCCTGTTTCATTTATACTACAGCATTTAGGGACATCCATATTATATATTTGCTTATGTTCTACTTTCTATTTCTTACACCCTTCGTAAAGCATTGATTGAATCAGAGTGTATATACCCTGTGGCGTTACAAATGCCCCCGATAGGGCTTCACTTGTTCCATCATCGTTGACGGCGAATACGGACACATCATACTGTGTTGAAGGCAGCAGTTGTTCAATCGTAAAAGCTGTGGTTGTTCTGTCTAGAGTAACGTAAGTAGTCGAGAGTCCGTTGTGCTCCTGGTAAGTCAATGTGAACGTTTCAGCATTATCGTGGTCGTTCCCAGGATTCCATGACACAACTGCACTATGAGATGTGATTTGACTTATCACTAGTTTTAACGGCGGCTCTGGTCTCCCTGAAAAGCATTTTGACGTTGATAAATTAAGCACGTTCTCTACAAAGTCTTAATACGAGAGCCATTCAATACATTTTGTCACTAGTGTCACGTGTATGATACATAAAGTTTGACCTTTCTATTACAGTCCTTTGAAGTATCCTCCTTTAATAGAAACGCACATTCGCAATCGCGCTATCGAAGACGTAAGCGCTGCGTGGTAGTCTTCTCTTGGTATACTGGTAAGGAACTAGAAGATTGTGTAACAAAGAGAACTCCTAGTGACAGTGACTTTGGTCTGGTAGATAGAGTGGATGGTCAATCTGTACTACCTTTTCGTACTTCGAAAACACCTGTACAGTACTGCTTTGTGGGAATAAGCATTGGCGTGAATTAGCTGGATGCCATTCAACCATTTGCTTTTTCATGAAGAATCGTTTGACAGGCTTCAGCGTTTTGTCTCTGTAAAACTCGACAGTGATAGTGTTCCCTTCCTTACAGTATTTGAACCACATACCACACTAGAACTGACAAAAAAGGTTTCATGGCGCTTTATATATCGGGCACAAAGCTATTTTTAATTGCAAGCACTTGGTCAGAATGCGATGTGTACTGCCTTTTGAATAACCAACAATATGAGAAACAGTATAACGACAATCGTCCGTAATTATTGCTTTCACAGCAGCATTGTCCTACTTTAATCCTGCAACAACTGGCCTGCCTGGCCGTGTGTACCCTCTGATGCTACAACAACTGGCCTGCCTGGCCGTGTGTACCCTCTGATGCTACAACAACTGGCCTGCCTGGCCGTGTGTACCCTCTGATGCTACAACAACTGGCCTGCCTGGCCGTGTGTACCCTCTGATGCTACAACAACTGGCCTGCCTGGCCGTGTGTACCCTCTGATGCTACAACAACTGGCCTGCCTGGCCGTGTGTACCCTCTGATGCTACAACAACTGGCCTGCCTGGCCGTGTGTACCCTCTGATGCTACAACAACTGGCCTGCCTGGCCGTGTGTACCCTCTGATGCTACAACAACTGGCCTGCCTGGCCGTGTGTACCCTCTGATGCTACAACAACTGGCCTGCCTGGCCGTGTGTACCCTCTGATGCTACAACAACTGGCCTGCCTGGCCGTGTGTACCCTCTGATGCTACAACAACTGGCCTGCCTGGCCGTGTGTATCCTCTGATGCTACAACAACTGGCCTGCCTGGCCGTGTGTATCCTCTGATGCTACAACAACTGGCCTGCCTGGCCGTGTGTACCCTCTGATGCTACAACAACTGGCCTGCCTGGCCGTGTGTACCCTCTGATGCTACAACAACTGGCCTGCCTGGCCGTGTGTACCCTCTGATGCTACAACAACTGGCCTGCCTGGCCGTGTGTACCCTCTGATGCTACAACAACTGGCCTGCCTGGCCGTGTGTACCCTCTGATGCTACAACAACTGGCCTGCCTGGCCGTGTGTACCCTCTGATGCTACAACAACTGGCCTGCCTGGCCGTGTGTACCCTCTGATGCTACAACAACTGGCCTGCCTGGCCGTGTGTACCCTCTGATGCTACAACAACTGGCCTGCCTGGCCGTGTGTACCCTCTGATGCTACAACAACTGGCCTGCCTGGCCGTGTGTACCCTCTGATGCTACAACAACTGGCCTGCCTGGCCGTGTGTACCCTCTGATGCTACAACAACTGGCCTGCCTGGCCGTGTGTACCCTCTGATGCTACAACAACTGGCCTGCCTGGCCGTGTGTACCCTCTGATGCTACAACAACTGGCCTGCCTGGCCGTGTGTACCCTCTGATGCTACAACAACTGGCCTGCCTGGCCGTGTGTACCCTCTGATGCTACAACAACTGGCCTGCCTGGCCGTGTGTACCCTCTGATGCTACAACAACTGGCCTGCCTGGCCGTGTGTACCCTCTGATGCTACAACAACTGGCCTGCCTGGCCGTGTGTACCCTCTGATGCTACAACAACTGGCCTGCCTGGCCGTGTGTACCCTCTGATGCTACAACAACTGGCCTGCCTGGCCGTGTGTACCCTCTGATGCTACAACAACTGGCCTGCCTGGCCGTGTGTACCCTCTGATGCTACAACAACTGGCCTGCCTGGCCGTGTGTACCCTCTGATGCTACAACAACTGGCCTGCCTGGCCGTGTGTACCCTCTGATGCTACAACAACTGGCCTGCCTGGCCGTGTGTACCCTCTGATGCTACAACAACTGGCCTGCCTGGCCGTGTGTACCCTCTGATGCTACAACAACTGGCCTGCCTGGCCGTGTGTACCCTCTGATGCTACAACAACTGGCCTGCCTGGCCGTGTGTATCCTCTGATGCTACAACAACTGGCCTGTCTGGCCGTGTGTACCATCTGATGCTACAACAACTGGCCTGCCTGGCCGTGTGTACCATCTGATGCTAAGCTAACCATTTTTGAATTTGTTCACTCACTTGAACACGATTCTAATGCAGCACACCTCTGCATGGTTCAAATTTGGCAGTATCTGTAAAGCACACCGTGTTTGGTATAGGAGCGTTTTTCGGATTTAGACTTCATTTAAGCATTGAGTGTTTATTATTCAAAAATAAATAACTTCAATTCTTGTCAGATGATGCAGAAATTTTCCACGTCCATACTTTTTAAATGATTTTTCGGGTTGCAAAGCAATTTTATTGTTTGTTCGTACCGGATCTGTGTGTTGAGAGAATATATTGAATGGCTCTCGTACAATATGTATACAAAAATATAGTTAAGTTTATCATTGCTGGATGTAATGCAGTTCGATTTCATTAGTATATGTTTAACTGCGGACGATCGCATAAACAGAGTTTAGGATTCTGTTCTGATGGAACCTGCCCTCTTTATAATGAAATCGCGCTTCAACTCTTCAGCTGGGATGAACCAATATGTTACAGTAACTGCAATATCAATACATCATGTTTCCATCTTTTATGAAGGCATATTCCGTCTTTGCGTATTGCAGAGTTATCTTCTCTTGAGAGCAGGTATTGATTGTTATGTCATTGGCTTGTGTGAGAAAATTACGTCGTTTTATCAAACATTTATGACGTTATTCTCACAAACAATTGACGTAACAACCAATACCTGCTCTCAAGAGAAGATAACCCTGCAATACGCAAAGACGGAATAGTAAGCTATGAGTAATAGTAGAAATAATGGTATTCGTTTCTAGTGTAATAAAAGTAACGGATGCATACTATCATTTAAGTATTACACATTTTGCCACCAGTTACCTTCACTTCACGTCATTCCTTTTCCATAACATTATTGCTATTATTGCCATGTAGCTTTAGGCCATATATCATCACTCTAAACCGTTTGGTATTTAAGACGAAGTAGTTGAAGTTTCTTGCCATATTTTTCCTCTATGACCTTAAATACAAGACAATGCCATTTATTTGCCTACATTTATCACATCATGCAAGCACATTACTGGCTAAATATCATGACTGTGGGTCTTTCTTATTATCAAAAGAAGTTGTTTAAGAGTTTTAACGAATATCACTCTTATGACCTTGATTATAGGTCGTCATTTCTTTTCGAAAAAACTGTTATACTCCATACTAGCAAATTACTTGCACAACATCATGAACTTGAAAGTTGTTTTGCTATTTAGAACGTGTGTAGATGTTCATACAAAATATTAACCCTGCTGCCGTGATTATGGCTCATAAAATGGCTTTTAGGGCAAAACGTTGCGCAATACTTGCATCTCAAAACCACTGAAACTTCATTTTTTGTCGACTTTGTTTTAAGAGGAGGGCTTAGAGTAATGATATTTATAGACAAAATTCTTGCAGTGTTTTAATATTCAAATATTGCACAATTTGTTGACAAAGTAGCCCCTTTTGTGAACAGGTTTTATTTGCCGTCGTAAAATTTATAAATATCTGCTTAAGTTGCTTATTAAAAATTATCAATATAATCAAATTAGCGATTGTTAGAAAAAATATTCAACGATACATAGGAGTATTTTATACAAAACATTTTGAAGAAATCTGACCAATGGTAATGGAAAAATAGTTAACAAAGGGCAAAAGCAGATCGCTATATTCACTGTGCCCTTTGGGCAAGATGAGCTGAAAATTCCACACACATTTTAAAACTCACCTGAAATGATGATTTCGAAGTTGTAATCACGATCATCAAATATATTCCTGACATACAGCCGGTAATGTCCTCTGTGCTTGGATTCGAACTTGCTGAAGTGTAAGTTTACCATGTAACCGTCAACAGGAACATCCTTGTTATAGAATGCAACTGTCACTGGAACCGACGAGACGGTGATAGAAAGTTCGCTTTGAGGAGGTAAAGTGGAGTCTGGTCGCAATATTGTCGTATTAACGGGCGCAGAAAAACTTACGTAGGTTATGTTGATGTCAAAAATATTGTCCTTTTCAGCGACATATTTACCATGTGCTCCGATTATTTTTGGACTGCCTGAAAATCACAGAAAAATGCAAACCTCTGTTAAATATCGAAACGTTTTACATGGAATAACATAGAAAAAGTATCATAAACAAATATCTATCACGTCGGTTTGTCTTTTTATTGGACTTTGATTAAAACAGTTGTTTAAGTTAATCCAAAAATGGACATTTGATTACACCTTAGGAGACATTGTTAAAGAGTTAGTCACGTGCTAGACATACATAATGAAGCAAAAGTTGAAAGCAACTGTGACGATTACTTCATGGGAAGTAATGTGACAGGGACATTGTGGATAGCTTTAAAGTAAATTAAGACCTAATTGATGCTAAAATGTTCATGATAATTAAAAATTGTGCAAATATATAACTGATATTACTATGAACAGATTGACTGATAGACGAGGAATCAATGATGTTAAGATCAAGAACGGACGTAAGTCATCAGCTACAAAATGTTTAAAATAAATACAAAGCAAAATTAAAAACTGTTGGTAGGTGTTTCATTTTGGCTTTCAAAGTAGCCCTGGCTTGACGATCAAAAACACTGCTGTTTTTACCTCTCCCGAGATTCTAATATTACCGTGCATAATTTAAGATTTTTTGTTATTTACTTATACAATGCAGACAATCAAGCGTGTACATAATTCATGATTAATAATCAGTGTATTGTATTGCCCTGTAATATTGTGCAGATATACTCGTTACATTGCTTGTGCAAAACAATGTTAAGTGCCTACCTCACAATATGCCCATTCCACGGGCTACATGTAACATGTAAATCAAGGCACGGCTTTAACCATATCAGAGGCACAATCCTCTTTAAAGTTATTTTTAATACGAGAGGTATAGGAAATTACTTAGAAATATAATTGTGTTTTTTCATCTAAACATTTGCATTATGTATAGGAATAGTGGAAGCCTAATATTTAAAATTTTAGGGGTGAACATTCACTTCGGAATTAAACTAAGAGTGTCAGATACAGATTTACTAAGTATCCTGACACGGCTGCGATATATAAACAGGGTCAATTGCTTTCGATATAATTTTTCCATTTGTACAAGACAGGTAATGCACAAAATCCTATTGAGATTCTAAAGATATATTTTACAACATACTTATCCGGCTTCACATAAAATCAATCGCACTTAATGTGTTTTGTTCAGAAAATTCCTGTGATATTAATAAATCCGTAAGGCGAGTCGAGTGAAATGGAGCCATATAATCGAAAAAAGCTAGTTGTGTATATAAACGAAGTGAAGAACGTGAAAATACATCGATCACAAATACATATTTTGGAAACGTTTCTTGTTACCTTTTGTTGATATCACCTTTTCTTTGTACTTACACCTCTACTTGTTATTTAAATAAAAATAAATCATCCAAGATAACATAATCTTTTTACGGCGTTACCTTGCACAGATAGGAATCCCTGTCGTTTCTGTACAACCTCTCCATCTCTCCCCCTGAATCCGTTGTCCACCTCACACACATACGTCCCCATGTCCTCGTAAGTCATTCTAGGAATGGAAAGTGTACTAACTGACCCTGAACTAGTCACCTGGTCAAACGTGTCCCTAATCACTGTAGATCCGAACATGTGTGTCCACCTGTATGTGTACTGGTCAGGTACCCCGTTAGCTGTACAAACCACATGGACATTTGTTGTGTTTTCTGTGGTGTTAGTGATAACAAGGCTGACATCTGGACCATCTGAAGAAAGAGTTATCAAACAAATCTGTGTTAGTGATAGCACGGTCAACGTCAGGTCCATCTGATCAATTTAATTATAACATTAAATGATTTATGCGTGATATGACTTAAACACGTTAGAGCAGTATCATATAGTAATGTGTTTAGCTGGCTGCATTCGAACAGGTTCATACGAAAACATAGAAAGAAATGTTAGATGTGTCTTTTGATAACCGAAATTGATTTATTTACGTCAACCGAGATTGTTATATTTTCGTCATGATTATATATGACACTGTATGTCATGTATGTCATCATGATAATTTAATAAGTGCCTTTGTGAACTGCTAGTATTGCCTATGCTTATCAATACAAACAATGCCACTTTAGAATTAACCAATTTCATTTCTGTTTGTAGGACTCGGTAACTAGACAATTATAGAAATGACGTAAAAGGACTGAGGGATTTTATTATCTTTAACATAATTATGAAAAAAGGAAGAATTCATTTGTTCTAGGACGCATGTGCGTTATCGAGTAAGGGTTAATTTATTCGTAGCATGTACACATTTGAATGTTTCCAAGTACATCGACTCAAAACTTAAATAGCATGACCTTCGACTGCAGTATCCAAAAATTAGCCTTAAGTTAAATGAAAACGATGAGGCATCATTTCAGCGTTTGCAGGTTCAAAACGACAGCCAAATTAGCAGGTGAAGTTGTCGAATTCAGTAGATAACACGAACGAATACTCAATTTTAATTACATGCGAAAATGTGGATGCAATCAACATTTGTTGTACACAATTGGAATATTTTTTTCTAACCTCGCTACGTATTCCACTTTTATACGTACATACATGTTAAATGTAATTTAAATAAAAATAAGACTCAAATACGAGGTCAGTAGAGATATAGACATCAAAACATAACAACGATAATTAAAACACATTCAGTGATTAACGAGAGACGAGTTAACTGAACGTATAACTTTGCAGTCAAAATAATAAAACTGTTTTCGATCGCAGCATAAATTAACTGATTTACTCACATCGAATGATAACATTAAAGAGTTTCGTAGACTGCAGTAAGATGTTGCCGTTAGTAGAACGTGCAGTGGCGGTACATGTATAGGTCCCCGAGTCCTGTCGGTCTGTCCTGGAGAACTGGAGAGTCCCGTGTGACTGGACAAGTGTCGTGTCACGGTACCAGGACACAGCTGGAGAGGGATTACCTTCTGCTGAACATGGCCTACTGAAACTCTGGCTCTCGTTGATGTAGGCTGTAGACTTGTCAAGTGTAATGATTGGGTCATCTGTCATACAAAGCAACAACGTAAAATGCAACTGTATAATGAATTGTGTAACAAGTAATCCACACATTTCTTTTAAAAATTGGTGACTTTTATAGTGTCATTGATGTAGCAAAACAAACCAAAATATTGATTTCAGGGTGAAAACATGAATCATCTAGATATGTATTTTAAGAAAAAATAGCCTTCACAAGGCGATAGAAAGTGGAGAGATATGTTGCTGATTATGCTAGCAAAAATCAGAATTAATATAAGCGTCTTGGACAAAAAATGCCATATCATTACTTTTGGTTCGATAACACATTTTGTGTCAGTTAACGCTTATATATGTTTTGACAATTTCACGGAATCATGATCTCCACATTAGATCAACCTATGTAATACCCAATCATTCTTTTTCAAGAATCTCGTCTGTTAATACATCGATTTTGTGTTAGCATATCATTAGACTATAGATATATTGCACTTTGTACAAGTCTGCGTGTTAACATGACGATAATATATGGCCCGTGTTTTTTTCTGAATAAACGACGGGAAATAATTGTCATTGCCCTTAATATTTACAACACTGTTCTTTGCCAGGTTGTTAGTTGTGTTATCGTCGTTCAACATTCCACTCTGGGGAAGATGGGTGGCAGAATTGCCACCCGCCTTTTACTAAGACAAAAACAGGTTGATTCCTCTCCTCGAACAGGAATGATCTTCAGCTCGAATAGGCAGGTTTTCTCCGATTTCCTCACATATAAAGACCAATGTAGCTTTACCATTCGATCAAACAATAGTTCTAAATATGAGCTTGTAAAAAGTGTTTCATTAATGGACTAAACATGTAAAGTTTAATTATACAATTCCATGATTCTATTGGTAAGTACAACCAAACTATGCCCGCAATAGATTATGATATGTTGTGTGGGTGTAATACACCATTACATATCAGATCACCAAGAAAGCAAGAGTACACAATGTATATACAATTACAGTAAACTTGACAATCATATGCAGTAGGCGTTAGTAAGTATCATTTCCAAGTACGGTACCACGTTAATGGTAGCTCCGGATATTTAATCTGAAAATTTGATTATGCAACATACATCGTGCGTATTTATCAAGCTAACACATTTGTGATTGTGATTCATATGCATTTTCAATGAAAGTCCCGTCGATGAAAAGAGGAGGACATAATTTTACGTGCTATGAATATTGGTTATTTTTTATAATTTCTTCCGGAGTTATGTCTAATACAAGCATAAAATGTATAAATCTTGTAAAATGAATTAATTGGCTTTTTGATTTATTGTACCTTGTAACCAACATTTAATGAAGCACCAACGCCGTCATATTCGGAAATAACATAAGGGAATAGCGATGTTAAATCATAGGCAACAATAGTTTAAAGCTGTAAAATTTAAGAATGCATGCTATGTCTATATAACATCTTGTTTTGTGTACAGGTAATGTTCCTCCCAAGTATATACTTATTTATATCATTTATTTGTCATACCTTTAAGCATTATCTTGCGACTGTTTGTGTAAAAACAAATAACAGCATTGTCATTATGCATATCTTACATTATTCTCGATACTCCAGGAGTTACAATCACTTTCGCTCTTTGCATCCCTGGAATATGGCAAAGCAAAATTGAAGGCACGCGGCTAGCATTTGATTGGTCGCATGTTAAGAAACCTGACTGATTGCTAAGGCAGATGCCTGTCCTTTGAAGACTACAAAAAAGTGACAACCGACTTCATATCAAGTCAATTGTACCGTTACGCGACCGCGTTACGCGATTCTTTTGATGTTCATCAAAGGATCAAACAAGTTTTATCGTCTCATTCACAAGGTGGTGCATGCTGAACTTTCAATTTTTCCACAGCATATTCCAGGTGTGCAGATATCGTTAGTGAGCGTAAACCTAGGAGTATTGAGGATGATCTTACATTCAATATCCAGTACCAGCCCGTTAGACACTACACTGGTATCCTTGGTGTCTGTGTAGTTGTTATCAGCCCTACAGGTAAAGGTATGTCCGTTATAATCCTTGTCTGGTGGGTCAAACCTCCTCGTTATCGCTGATTGGCCAGGATCTATGACGCCATTGTTGTACCATGATATCCGTGTTGTAGGGGGATTCCCCGCTGTTGTTGTACACGTTAGGATACCGGTAAATGTCGGTCTGTCCAGCCACGGTAGTGTCCCGCCATTGGTTGTGTCAACAGCTAGAGCAGGGGTACTCGGTGGGTCTAAATGAATACAAACGTAATTGACACAGTTTTCAACACTTTCGTAACTACAAATTGGAAATTATATTTTTCTGATAGCCATCGAAAATGCACTTTCGTGTCTGAATGTTCTGCAAAACTATAGGTTGTAGAAATCTTGGCAATTATTGCGAGGTATATATCGGTGTATATTTGTGCGAACCTTTTTACATACATAGTACTATTTACTTCTAAACAGTATTAACCATATATATAACTGCTATATAAACTATAGTTGTAGCTTGTGACGGGTGTCAGTTCGGCCACTTCTCAATGATAAAGTTCATCAGCTAATTGGTTTGATGTTCCAATTTCGCTATCACAACAACAAATCCTTATTCCAACATTCCCATTTGCTGTGTGTTAACTTATCCAAAACAATATATTTATACACATGTAAAACCTATAGCCGACAACCTGAAAACACTTTTAGGATTGTTTATTGTAAGTGTCATCTATAATCGTCATCTGAAAAGACATTTTATTTTGTAAAACCATTTTTAATTGCCAGTATAGATGTTTATTTAAAGTTTAAAATGCATCTTTTTAACATTTATGAGGGTATGCAACACAGCTCCGTTCATACATATTCCATAATACTTACAATACACAGTGATAACAGTAGATTTGGTGAGACTTGGTGACAACCCTACATGTACATAATACTTACAATACACAGTGATAACAGCAGATTTGGTCAGGCTTGGTGACAAGCCTACATGTACATAATACTTACAATACACAGTGATAACAGTAGATTTCGTGAGACTTGGTGACAACCCTATATATAATACTTACAATACACAGTGATAACAGTAGATTTGGTCAGACTTGGTGACAGTCCTACATGTACATAATACTTACAATACACAGTGATAACAGCAGATTTGGTCAGACTTGGAGACAGCGCTAGGTGTGTTGCTGTACATGTACACTGCCTGCTGTTGTAGACTTCTGTAATAGATGTGATAGTTAGCCTGCTCACAGCCCGACCTTTGGTGTCCATATTAGTGGAGGTCTCCTTTGATTGGTCCACACAGGTCCAGGACAAAGTAGCCAGGGGGTTACCTCCATCAATCTTACAGTCAATATATACATTATCCCCCTTGTAAAATGGTGAGGTGTAGTGTATAGCAAATGTCTCCACAGTCGGTGCATCTGATACAACGGAAAATAAATGAAATAAAAGAAATGTTAATATTTTGGTTTGATGTCGAATAACATTTATCATTAATATTTGATAACACAATAACGTAAATCCATTCAAATACTATATAAATCAACTTACAGAGAATATTAAAGGCGACGCTTACTGTACCAAACTGTCCATTAGGACTGGCCTGGTGTCCGGCGGTACACACACACTGTTGTTGGTGGTAGGTACTGTCCACTGTAAATGTCAGACTGGACACTGCTGTGGTGGTATTGGTCAGATCCTGTCCAGTCACTGGTGACCCTTTACATTGCCATGTCAGTGTAGCCAGAGGGTTACCTCCCCCTACCTGACACTGGAGTGTTACTTGTGTTCCTGTCAGGACAGATTGAGTACCAGATGGCGCCACAATCAAGGTTCCTGTTGGAGGGTCTGAAACAGAATCACTGGTGTGTATGTCCTTCACGATATATATGTTTCAATTTAAAAAAAAATAAAAAAAATTTGGATACCAAAATCCTCATTACATGTGCTATATATTCATTTATGAAACAACAAATGTATATTTCAACTCCGAGATGAAATTCTAAAACAAAAATGATTAAACCTACTGTATATATTGTGAGATTGTGGGTTCGAAGAACGAATTGTTATCCTTCCTGTTGTTTGTTTCAAACAATTTTTCTGTGTCTAATATACGACATCTGTGCAAGTTTTGAGGAGGCCGCGACGGTCAGATATACGGATATTCCCCAGCAAGATTCTTTAGTGCCGGGGACGTTTAGTTGGAAGCCCTGACAGGTCAGGAGTCTAAAATGTGTCTTACTTTATTGCATGAACGTTTGTTGTTAAGTGAGTTATCAAATTATAAACACAACTTATCATATACATTAGTGTAGGCTGATCCGACGGTTTAAGACATTAACTACCTGTCGTGATTGTACTTTGTCTACAATATAACATTTGCACAATTGTTATATTTAAGAAGTAACCTTCATTTCCTGATGGCGTATACGATAGTATGAACGCAATTGGCAACCATGTATATTCTATGGTGCACGTTAGCTAAATCCTTTTACAGTATTTGCATCCGAAAAATTGTTTAAATGCAGTGTGGATCTTCATCGATATTAAAGTAATTTTAGAAAATGCACAGTAAACAACACTATTGTTTTCCTTTTGGCAGCTTTTGAATTATAAACCAATTAATATGAGTAGCCCTTCGAACATCTTCTCAATGATAGTGGTTGTTATGCACGTTGACACATTGCTCCAGTATTTTTTTATTTTATTTTTATAATAGTAAAGCTGTACATTCAAATTTCCTCTGTCGGGGCCCTACCCTTTCAGACCCCGAGTCCGTATGAAAGTAGGCGTTGAACCTTTTATTTCCGTATTGGTTCATGCCCCGCTGCCCTACCCAAAATGTTTCACAACCTTCAGATGTACAACAATGAATGAGCTTGGCATTTCTTTGAATCCCCACCTCACCGTTACGTGAAAATCTCTGTGACACCATCAACAGTAAAGGCACGTGGATTTGCCGTCATCACAGAATTACGGGTTATGGCTTATATTCCATCGACCTTTATATTATCCAGTTGACATTTACAGTAAATATTGCGGATGAGATATAATTTAACAAGTGCCAATTGAGAAGTTAAACGACGTGTTGAGTTGGGGTTCGACAATAACAGGTGATATTGTCACGTGGTTATACATGGCATCAGTTACAGTGATACTGTACATGGTGTATATATATAATGTTCATAATAAAGGCTGGGACTGATAGTGTCGCGACACGTTAATTATTGTAATAAATACTGGCTGAACATTACACTGTTCATTTAACAATAGAAATGATATCTTGACAGGCACTCTTCGCTAATGATAGGAAGGAATACCACTGTAAAAAACAAATGACCGAATGATACTTGAATATTATACTCAAATTATTTGCTTTGGCATAGAAATAAAAGCAATGACCATAAAATCCTGCTATGTACCTGTCCAATCAACAAGTATTAACTAATATGTATTTGATGTTTTTATATCATCTCAATGAAAAAGTGTGATGTCAAAATTATCATGAGGTATTCAAAACACTGTAAAACGTTAAATGACGACGTTCAAATAATGTATTGAATATTGTAATATAGTGTTTACCGGAAAATATTCGCTGCGGTTTAACTTTCGCTTTTTCGCCTATTGTGATGAGGGCGAATTTACCATTACAGCGAAAGTTTGAGTGGGCAAACGTTTCTCGGTATACGGTAGGTATCCTAATGTATAACATCTTCCCCATCTTGCTTGCAAATCTACAAACAATGTAATTTTGTTCGGAGGACCTTTGTTGGACCACAAATAACACTTATACATACATAGAGGATCTCACATGAGTTTCCATTTGATATGAGATTTATGAAACGAGTTGAGAATGTTTTAATTTTGCGAGGCTCTGCAATTAACACATTCGTTATGATTGTACAAACACCCATTACAGAATCAGTTGAATCCGACTTGTTACAACACCACGGTTCAAAATACAGCCACGAACAGTTACACGGCCTCATTAATGAATATTCTCTTGCCATCCAAGAGTCATTATACGAAGAAGAATTGTTTCAGACAGCGACAGTGACTAGTGCGGTTCGGAAACATGTTTGACCTCGATTTTGTACTTGCGAGCGCTATGACGCTGCTATCTGCTAGTCTCGCGAGGTCATATTTTAGGTCATTACGTGAAAAGCACTGTGGAGTATTCTTTTATAAAACAGTCAAAGATAATTATAAAAGTAATATTTTTCTGATAATATCTGGTAATGAAAAATTATTGTAATTCATATTGCATGCTGTTTCGAATTTCCGGATATTTTGTCAGTCATCCGGTACCTTTGTATATAAGTTTAGAAACTGTAACACGTTTTCCGGGGGTGACAAAATAAACATGGCGCGAAATGACAGAAGCGACTGATGAGTGATAATTTGATCAATTTTAGAATCATACACTGCATGACATACACCCCAAAAAGGTGGAGAATCCTCATTGAACTGTTTTATGATAAAAAAAAACCGCCATAATGCTTTTGTCATTTTTGCTCACCGATGATAACGTAAATGATTTGCTATCGACGACACCTCGGACTGTTTCCCCCAGTTCTAGATCACCATCCTCGATATCCAGGGGTTACGCTCACTTTCGCTCTCTGCACCCCTGGAATATGCTATAGCAAAATTGAAGGCACAAAGTAGCTGTTTGATTGATGTCACGTAAACATTCCTGACCAATCACTAGGCTGATACTTGTTCTTCAAAGCCGGTAAGTTTTACCATTACGCGAACGCGAGATTCTTTTGATGTACATCAAAGGATCAGACTAGTTTTCCCGTCTCGTCCACAAGGTACTGCACACTGAGCTTTTGAGTTTGCTATCACATATTCCAGGGGTGTAGAGAGCGAAAGTGAGCATAGCCCCTGGATAACGAGGATGTAGATCACGTGCATGTGATAACGATGAAAATCCTTCACACTCGCAGTAACCGACTAAAACGTCTCATGAAAGAGAATATTCAGAACAACCAGTCATTATTTCACCAGTAGTACCATCAGACAATGTTAAACTTTACGGCTATTCATTCGAGGAATGGCAATAATTTCTCGGCGAGTTTCAGTTATATATTACCTACAATGGACTTTATCTGGATCCTACTCCCGTTTGCCGCATTGTAGCATTCCATATACAGCTCGCCGGTCCTGCCCAAACCTGGTTTGATAGTTTAGATCACGCGACAAAAGCAGACTGATCTGAACTTTCACGCGCAATTATTGACAAATATGGGGGTTGTGATCGGTTGGATCCATCACTTACCCTGCAATCTGCGGCATTTCAGAAACTCATGCTACATGAAGTGTAATATTGGAGAAGGAACGTAGACTTCAAAAAAGAGAAAGAGACATGGTAGCTCAATTTATTGTTGCTTTGCCCAATTTCCTAGCTTTTTAGTGAGGGCAGGAAAGAACAGGAGAGGCAGCTGGTCATAGATATTCCCTTACGGGACAAATGACACCTACTGTTCAGGCCATTAGCAAGGAACGTTCTGCTGGTGCTCAATCTAAAGTTAATTCCTTGCTCTTAGAACTTGCTACACAAATGGAGACGTTACCTACTATGGTAAAGCAGGGTGCACTTACATCCCCACCGCATCATGACCAAAGACAGGAGTTGGTACTGCCACGGACAGGAACTGCCATAAATAATAATAATAATTAATAATAATTAGAGGTTCTTATATGACCGCTTTATCACAACCTAGTTCGTAGGAAGTCTCAAAGCGGTTCGCACATTATTATCCGTGGTTATAGAGCCTTTGCAACCAGCCAATATCTTTCTCAACTCCCTGGTGAGCATGCAGCCGGTGCTGCCATTTTGACGCCCGCAGCTAACATTCTACATTCTAGCACTACCTAACCACGTACTTATTTACAGCTGATTAGACTGGAACAAGCGGAGTAAAGTATCCTCCTCAAAGATACAACACAGTGCCATGACATGACTCGAACTCGCAACCCTTCGGTCACGAGCCCAGCAACCTACCACTGGACTATTGTGCCTCCATAACTGTTTTCGCTGCCATGGGGAGGGCCATAGACGTTTTGGGTGTTTGTAGGCAGGGCAAGGACAGTCAGAACCAACTATTAAGTGCCAGTTGTGTGGACAGTAGCCACCCAGCTTTCAATTGCGTACACCATTTGAATACCAGACTCCCCCATATCGCTGGTCATCCTGGAGACGCTACTGATGCGTCAGGATAAGGCTCACTTTTCCAACATGCTCAACTTATGCCTGTTCACACACAGCCACCCATGGGAAACTGGGGAGGGTCGCGGCCCCTCCGGCGGTCATTAAATACGCGCGACGTAGCCCTGCTCCACTTCGATGGAAAGAGGGTGATACACGAGAACACAAAGATACAAAGTTTGTACTTAATGTGAATGACAGCACCGGTGCTGATGATGCGGACACAGATTGTTCACAACGAAGTCGTGACTCCTCTAGTGATACACATTATGATCATGAACACAACTCACCTGTACCCAAACCTAAGTTTATGTATTTACATGTGACATTTGAAAAATTCAGAGTTGCAGGTCTCCTTGATGCTGGTTGTACAATTTTCTTGATGTCTCAATCACTGTTTGATTCTCTGCCGCAAACATGTAAATCTGCCATACTCCCATCTTCTGCGTCCACAGTCAAATAGGCTGACCCCAGACAAATACAGTACGAATCAAGGGGCGAGCTCAAAATGACCGCTGTAACTTTCTAGTACATATCATTGCTCATAACTCCCACCCGCTCATCTAAGGCACATTGTTTACATTGTCTACAAACAAAATTGTACTTGATTTTTATTCCATGTAATACTCATTTTTATGAAAGAAATTGAAAGTCAAATATAAACATGGAATTAGAATCAATCCCTCATCTGAGTGTATGGTACAAGGTCCAGGTCCCTAAGGGATCTATGATGGGGGGTCCAATGTATTTGTACAGCTGGTAAACAAATCTTAAGAGCCGGTCTATTTGTTGCTAGATCTTTGGTTACTGTGCAAGGTTCCCGAACCATTCCAGTCAAACTTTTAAACCCCATTGACACTACTACAGTGATATCTAGAGGCACAGTTTTGGCAGATCTTGTATCAATGGATGGTTGTCACATAGTAAAGTCTGCCAATGATAATGTTGGTGACAGTGCATATAATTGTAACCATATTACAACAAATAGCCCCAATGTTTCGGAAAGGTGCTGATCAGTCTAGTACTAGTGACCGGCAGGAGTTTTTGTCAAATTTTGATTCTCGTTTTCCCAATTCGTCTGCAACTCAAGTTGAATCTTTAAAAGAATGTGTGTGTACAAATAGAGATGTTTTTGTCACAAAGGACAATCCATCTTTAGGTTTCACTAAGATAGTAGAACATGTCATTCATCTGAACCCTAGTTATGTCTCAAAGCATCAGCAGCCATATCGTTTATCTCCTGACAAAAAAAAATGTATCAGAACACAATTAGGCCATTTGTTAGATCAGGGAATTATTGCACCTGTCAACGAGAAAAATGATTTACCCATAACTAGTCCTATATTACTTGTCTCCAAACATAAAAAGCCTGGTGGAAAATTGTCCCAGAATGATTGTTAGGCACATTTAATGGCTTATAGATTTTGTTGTGATTTCCGTTACCTCAAATCTCAGACCCAGCCTTTTTGGTACACCATTCCAAACCTTCAAGAACTCAAAGAGTCTTTCAATGCCAGTACACCTACCTTTATAACTTCCATTAACATGCAATCAAGCTTTTCCCAAATGGGTATAGCATCAGAATCTTCTAAATTTACTGCTTTTAACACCTGTTTTTGGTCATTTAGATTTCAGAGATTATCAATGGGCCTTAGCACAGCTCCAAATAGTTTCCAACTTTAAATGGACAAAGTGTTAAAGGGATTATAATTTCGCTCAGCTGTGTGCTACCTTGATGGTATCCTGATAATTATGTTCAAATACTTTTGATCAATATGTGAATGTCTTGGAGGAGGTTTTCTTGCGGTTACGGAACGCTGGCTTGAAACTAGGGCCAAACTAGTGTATGTTTGCTCGCTCAAAGTGTATTTTCCTGTGAGTGATCCTGGTATTATATGTGGTTTAATGTTGCATATTAGTCCATGGAGATTTATTTTGCATTGAAGAAAAGGTTTGATATCATGTTCAATCTTTAGATATATATATATTTATCAATATTGTTTGTCACTAGTCACTCTACATTGTTTAGTGTTCATAATGCTAGTCATTCTTCTCAATTTCTGGTCTCCATTAGTTGGTAGCTTTACATATGTGTTCATTTTATAATTTTCTTTGACTGTTGGTAAAATTGAAATCTCAATTTTAGTCTTGGGGGAGGGGAAGCAGTATTCTTTTATTAAACAGTCAAAGATATTTATAAGAAATAATATTTTTCTCATTATATCTGGTAATGAACAATTACAATAATTCAAATTGCATGCTGTTTAGATATATCGGATATTTTGTCAGTCATCCGGTACCTTTGTATATCTGTTTAGAAACTGGAACACGTTTTCCTGGGAAGAAAAAAAAACATGGCGCGAAATGACAGAAGCGGCCGCTGATGAGTGATACTTTTATCAATTTTAGAATCATACACTGCACGCCATACACCCCAATAATTGTCTCCCCTTTGCATGAATAATAGGAAACATGTATTTTCGATATAAGTTTGCAAAGTTTAACAATAGTTGACAATTAAAATAATAGTATGAGTTGCTACTAATATCAAGTTATATACGGATCTAGGAACTATGTTTCATCGCATTCTCTGGAATGATATTCTTTAGCCGTTATTCAGTTACTTTTGATAGAGAAGGGGGAAAATGAGTTTAAAATTGATGTTTTTGTCAATTTGTTCACGCCATGTGATAAAGAGAATTTCACATGAGTTTCCATTTGATATGTGATTTATGAAACTCGTTAAGAATAAGTTAATTTTGCTCGGCAGAGCCTCGTAAAGTTAACACATTCTCAACTCGTTTCATATGTCTCATATCAAATGGAAACTCATGTGAGCTCCTCTATATATTGGTTAAAGAACAAAAAAAAAACGTTTGCGGTTAATTCAATTCCGGTACTCGACTCAAATCACCATCTCACAGACCAATAAGAAATTATTACAAATTTATAATGATATTACAACATCAGTAAAAGTATACTTACTTATCACGCTGACTACGATGATATCGCTGTATGTAGCTGTTGGGTTGGCGACCAGACATCTGATTCGTGCCTTGTCCCATGATCTGGTCACACTGGAGATGGTCACGGAGAAGGATTTACCGTCTGTGGTACAGTTACACTGCTGGTTACAGGGCTGGGCTGTACTACCATCTAAACACTGTCCTCCTGATAGTTGTCCTATTCCAATAGACCTCCCATCCTCGTAATTAAATGAGGCAAACACAGAGCTGTTCCCCGTCACCGAACACGTCAGGGTGAGTGATCCTCCCTCTGAGACAGGGGATGGGGTCGCTGTCAACTCTACACCGATACCTATAAAACATGTGACAATGATATAACACGTCAGGGTGAGTGATCCACCCTCTGAGACAGGGGAGGGAGTCACTGTCAACTCTACACCGATACCAATAATACATGTAACAATGACATAACACGTCAAGGTGAGCGATCCTCCCTCTGTGACAGTGGAGTGAGTCACTGTCCACTCTACACCGATACCCGTAACAAATGTTACAATGCTTTGCATGTAAACAGCTTTCACCTCTGAACTTTAAGGGGGAACTCCTTTTTACTTTAGAAGCGCTGTCCCTGTTCATGACACGCCAATCGACAACCGTAGGGATGTAGGTATCATCAGTCTTATTGCGCAGAAGGATACGAGACTTTAAAAATATGAGACTTTGAAACACATAGGTTCAAGTGAATAGAACAGACTATGCCCACAATGAATTACTTCCTTGAATATGTATGGTAGTTCGAAAGTTATCACGGAGAGGCACGAGACTAGAATTGGTCAATCAAACAAATAGTGCCAGACAAAACAAATGAAAACAACAATCCTGTTGTAGGAGGTTCGGGATGAGCGCGAGATTTACCGACAACCAGGCGCGTAGCTGCCTATACGCGAGTACGCAGTTGAATCCACATGATTCTGACAAACAAACAAAAATTCAGCTAAAGTTGCCTTATGCGTACTTGACTGCATGCTTATATCAAACGTTCCTTGTCGTTTCTATACTAAATAGCCATTGAAGACACCTGCTCAAGAAGATGCCATATTTGATGCATTTCATGACGACTTTAGTGGAGATCGTGAAAGCTTCAGACGTGAATTCGAAAGTTGCCCGGTCTTTGGAAGAAACAAAGCCTTCTGACCTTAGTGCAACATTTACATAAGTCTGGTAGTGTGGCTTATTACCATGCCGGTCTCAACAGTCTCAACTGAGAGGCAGTTCAGTATCATGAGAAGGGTGAAAAACTACATGAGTTCCACTATGTCCACTGAACGTCTGTCTGGACGAGCAATGTTGCATAGTTAGACAAATGGACATTGACATTGAAAATATAATAATACAGTGAGTTCGCTGGCAAAAAGGACAGAAAATTATACTTCTGTTAGATAATCTGGGTATTATTAACATAATCGGGGCTCGTATTTGTTTGCTATTTTAGCTCTATTTAAGAAGAAAAATATGCCGAGTAAAGGGTTTATTTGTTGATTTAAGATCCTAAAACTTTCCATTTTCGAGTACTAAATAAAGCACCTCAGAATGCCCAGAATGCACCAGATTGCACCATTGTTTTTAAAAATGTCCAGGGGGCCAGGCCCCCGGACCCCCCTAGCACAGTTATGAATCCACATTAATAGAGGCCTAGCTACGCCCTTGACAACAACACCTACTGGTACTAATGATGTAACTTTTACAAGGAACTGGGTATCATTACAGGAACGATTCCTCGCGGCGGTTGAAGAGGTTAGAATAAATATGAAGCATCCTCGATATCCAGGGGTTACGCTCACTTTCGATCTCTACACCCCTGGAATACATCATAGCAAAATTGAAGGCACGCGGCTAGCTATTAGATTGGTGTCAGGTAAATACTTGTCCTTTGAAGATTACAGAGGAACCACGCCGGACTTCAAAGCCAGTAAGTTTTACCGTTTTACGACCGAGAGACTCTTTTGATGTACATGTAAGGATCAAACTAGTTTTCTCGTCTCGTATACAAGGTACTGCCACTGAGCCTTCGATTTTGCTACGATATATTCCAGGGATGAAGAGAGCGAAAGTGAGCGTAACCCCTGAATATCGAGGATGTTGAGGAAGAAACCGTCGGTTTTTGAGGGACAGTTTGGTTTGTAATGATTAACGTCCTATTAACGTTTTCGTTTCGCCTAGCATACATTTCTAAAATACCTTGTCTCACTTAGCATACATTTCTACTTTCACACCACTCTCGAAATCCAGGGCTTACGCTTACTTTCGCTCTCTACACCCCTGGGATATCTCATAGCAAAAATGAAGGCACGTACACGGCTATTCATTTGATTGGTATCAGGTAAAACAACTGACCAATCACTAGGCTGATACTTATCCTTTGAAGATTACAAAGGAGCGACACCCGACTTCAAAGCCTGTCATTGTTTACCGTTACGCGACCGCGAGACTCTTGGTGTACATCACAGGACAAAACTAGTCTTCTCGTCTCATCCACAAGGTTTTGCACACCGAGCCTTCAATTTTTCTATGACATATTCCATGGGTGCAGAGAGCGAAAATGAGCGTAACCCCTGGATATCGAGGATGGTTTCACACCTAATAACAAATTAGTTAATTTTAAAAACCGTTTCAAAATGATGTAGGTGAAAGTATGTCTACTTTAATTTACGAATATTATTTCATGACATGTTAGGAGATGGTATACGTATATTAAAAAAGTAAAAAGGATACGTTTATTTCAATTATCTATCAGAAGTTAAAATAATTATGTTTTATATAATTATGAATTATTATAACATCACAGCTGTAATATAATTATATAGCTACCTGCATGCCATTCCAATCTTTAATTATTGTTGATAAGTAGTAAAACCTTATTGACTTACTTAATGTGAATAGTGTTTTTTTTAATTTAAACTGATGAATTACAGTTGCCTGCATGTTGTTTTATTTTGATAGTTGTTCCTACAGAATTTTAGTTTCAAGCTGGTTTCGTGCGGACATAGAAAGGGAAAATGTTTTTATAATCTTCACTTTTCATTACATCGCAAATGTCAAGATTGTTTAGATTTATTCAAACGTTGAGCCGTGAGCCAATCAGTAAGCACATGATATGCAAACAGCAATGTATAGAGAATGTATAGAGATGATCGATGTACAGTATAATTCAAAGATACTTTCCCTAACATACACAGCTGTTTACTATAATGGACACTTAACAACAGAATAGTATTAAAGACAGAGTTTTTTCAATAATGCTTTTTTTTCAATAAACCGTGCTTTAAGATTTTGAAACTTATACTACATATCTATAGAAAGTGAATATCAACCTTGATGTATGTGGAATTAATTTCCTTCTAATGCCGTCTAGTTCTCTAGTAACATGTCTATGTCTTACAGTACCAGATAGATAGATAGTTATCTGGTGGCGGATGGTCTAAATGTAGGAGAAAAACCGAAGCACCGGGAGAAAACCCACGTGGTCGGGCAGGTGACACCATATATCTGTTCACGTCCGATCGGGAAATCGAACCACGGCCGCCTTTTTGTGGAAGGTAAGTGCGCTATCCACTGCACCGACCGACCACACATGCCTCGTTTTAAGTACTTGGGGGATTTAGAAAGAATCGGGTACAGCAGAGAAACTTGCATGAATAGAGCGTAGGGAAGTTCTCTACCACTATTATCAGAAACAATACTTATAACGGTGTATCTCTTAAAGCGTGATCGGTAATAGTAGTATCTTAAAACTAAAACGTATCCTCGATATTCTAGATGCGTATTGTCAGTACACATACACAACGAGCTTGTACATACGAGTTGTCCTATTTACATCATCTACCCGGTGTAGGTACTTAACTTCCGCATTGATATCTAATATATTCACCGTGTTCACACAGAGTTAAGCTGTACGTGAGGGTACAATAGCAAGCAAGGAAACATTAAATAATATATTAGAAATTCTCAAAATCACTTACCAAAACTGATGGTGTGTAGTAAGAGTACCAACAGCCAAATGATCCGCTGCTTTGCGATCAGCATACTGGTAGATAAAACAACTGTTCACGAATTCTTTTGGACTATTTACTTCCAGGTTCTATTTATAACCGGATATAAGCATGTATATCATTACACAAGTCAGAAGTATATGCTCTGTAAGTTGTAATTCGATAATCGACAAAACAAAGTAATGAAGTATGGATATTTAGACAATAACACGCATATATATATATTGTACATAATTTTAAAGAAAATTATTTTGTCAAAAAGCAATGCGTTGATAACAAACTAGGTCTATTTTTTGCAAAGGAGGAGAGCTGTCGTTTTTTGTTGTTGTTTGTATTGCATATATGTATATATATTACTCGGGGTTATGTGGTCATGGTTATGAGCTCATATATGAGTGGGAAATGCGGTTTTTGGTGTTTTTTTTATTTAATTTTTGTTTGGGGGGGGGGGGGGGGGGGGGGGGACCTATTTGACATAACCGCACGTTATTTTTGAGACTTTCTTCATAATTTCCATGTACCACTACAGCTTCAAATAATACAAATTTCCACAAAAAAAGAGTACATAGTTGATAAGTATAGGCAACAGTGTGACCATGTTATATATCCATTTCATTATGTCAACGAAAGGGTTTTAGATGGTCAGGTGGCGCAGTGGATAGCGCACTCGGTTTTCACCAAGACGGCCGAGCGTCGATAGGGTCACCTGCCAGGTCACATGGGTTTTCTCGGGGTGCTCCGGTTTCTTTCCACATGAAGACCCCGTGGGCTAACATCCTAGATACAGAGTTTCAAAGTTTTTCGCAGTAATTGAGCCACTTTTTGTATTAATGAGGTTGACGTCAGCCTCGTGCCGAAACATGCAGTGTTGGTTGGCTGGTAATTTTAGCGAAAAAAAATGGCTACGCATCCAGTCACTCACAACACGTGGCTGACGTCATTCTCATTAATATACAAAAAGTGGCTCTATGACAGCGAAAAACTTGGAAATATGGTGTGTTTTTGGAGGAAACGGAGATTATGTCTGCGGAAGGAGAATACATTTTACGTACATATACGAGGTTTTTAAAAGAAAGAAAAAACATCTTTCCAAGGGTACTAAGCATTGTTTTCGTACATCAACTAGAAATGTTGTTTTTGAAAGTTTGGTGGTGTCGACTTTTGGACATCGATATATTTCCACCCTTTTCGTATATGTATAATCATTATGGTGGCATTTTTTTTTACCGAAAGTCGATCTAAACCCCTAAAGGACGTAAAGTTCCTTTGAAAACCTTAGTTTTCTCAGGTCGCTGTGGGTACGATACTGTCTACCTTCTCCAAGTCCGCTATTGTATTGACTATATTGAGCTGTACATCCAGGGGTGTAGAGAGGAAAGTGAGCGTAACCCCTGGATATCAAGGATGGACTATAGGGTGATGAACCCGTGGACCTTAACATATGAAACTCGGGGGTCGATACGGCACTTATCCCTCAGCTGCATTTGTATATAGCAGCATGTATTACATTTGTATATCATTACAAAATTTAGAATATATATCTAATATATATGACAAACTGAATCTTACTGTATATTACATAATCTCCATTTCTATCAATTACCGGATATCATTTCAATAAAATGTTTCGTATTATGGGGAGAACTTAACTGAAAGCTTGATGTTCAATCCAATTGATCATGATTGATGATTAATAAAAATAGTTGAAATTGAAAAAAAATATATTGACGTCGTATGCTGATTGTTAATTCCATCAGACCACAGGGTCACGTTTCAATCACACATATGCTATAATGATATGGGTCACAACACACATAAACATATGTTTATGTGTGTTGTGACCCATATCATTATAGCATATGTGTGATTGTAACGTGACCCTGTGATCAGACATATATGTTACTTATGAAATTATTACTTCTCGGCAAGTTTTTAAAAAATGTCGGTCGAGTTTTGAAATTGCCAAATGTTTCATTCCGAATAAAAAAAAAGAACCTGACTAAAGATAATTTCTTTGATCTATATCAGCTGAAAATGGCTTAGCGTACAAAGGGAAGTAACTCGAGTTTGTCGCGTAAGTATGTACAGGAACGAAAGAGGAAACATATCCTTGATGTAGTCTATACCTTTAATGTAACATTCTGGTATTTAATAAACTTAATGTATGTTCCCATTTCCAGAATATGTTTTTACGAAAAAATACAGATAGTTGTGAAGAAAAACAATTACAAAACAAAACAAAAACAAAAAATACATTGCCATAATGCCTTAAGATAAAATTCTAGGAAGAAAATAACAATTTATATAATCAGGGACAGTATATAGAGATATATATATATATTATACGTCCCTGATATAATACACGTGATGGAACGTGCAAATTAGTTTATGTAAATATGGCAAAAATAGTATGCATAATGCCAAGGTCAGCATTGGTTTATTTTGTATGGGATTCAATCTGATTAAAATCTCTACGTATCACGTTAGCCTTACGTTCAGGATATCATTGTAATCAGATTGCATGGAGTTTGACGTCCTCGCAACCGCATGGACCTTATACGTGTCTGTCGCCATCCGTGAACAAGATACACACAACAATATAGACCTTAAAACTTATATTACCAAAAAAAGTAACTTTTTAAGAAAATTAAACAACAAATTTACTGTATCAAACCAACAATCAGGCATCACAATATACCACCACAAATAAATAGTTAGACCACAAATGCGATAACAAGTTAAACTTCGACAAAATTTTAGATCTCTGGGCCAGAGAACTAAGAATGACTTAAAATCCGGATGGGATACGTGTGATCTAATCATGACACAGAAACGCTTGTAGCTAATACAATTTACTTTGCAAACGTGGTCGTAATCAAATTTGTACTGCGGTCCAAACCCGATACCGATCCAAACCCGATAAAAATTGTAGATACGTCGTGTTCTAGTTTAAAGTTTAGTTTATCATTTTCCACCGAACCTATTTTTATATAAATTTACATAACACTTCAAATATGTTTAATGACTTAAACAAATAACGTAACTCAACATACATGTGATTGCACAATTATAATTGGGTGAAAAATACAGTTTGCCAAAATTTTGAAATACGCTATATCATACAGGGCCGCTTTCGTTTATCGCGATCCAAAAGATTGAACCGGTTAAACCAGAGGTGTTCGTTTACTTAGTAATATGATGCTTCTTTTAGGCGAGCCTTGACAAAGCCTTGCAAGGCCTGCATAAACCTTTACAGGTGCGTCAGTATACCCGAACAAGTTACTTTGTTACAGACAAACCGGTTGTTCCGCATAAAAGAGCATGCCCCTGCTGTAATTCGTCCTTCTAAAACTCATCGAGTGCTAGAGGCCAAAAAGTTGGGAATCGAAATTGGCCCAAACTTCTTTTGAAACAGAAAATGGGGCCAGGGTTGATGCGTGAAAACCAATCAATAATTTATGTATTTCAAAATTAAGATACTTAGAGGAAGATGAAAAATACACCAACTACAACAGAAACAAGAATTATGTTTTACGGATCCATATGTTTAGACTTGAGAACTGAGTGGGCGGCCTACCAACCGTGCACTGTGCTCTTATCGCCCAGGCGAGGAAGGCAATGGATTCTATCCCCAGGCCGGGACATATCTTAAAAAGGGTAGTTGTCGCGGAGTGAAATGTTCTTAATGCTAGTACTGTCGTTACAAATATTTGCAATTAGCGGTATTTCAGGGCAAACGTCTTTTCACCAAGACGACCGAGCTTCGATTCCTGGTCTGGCTTGGACATGTATTAGGTCACTTGCTTGACCAGGTAGGTTTTCTCTGGGTACTCTAGTTTCCTCCCACATTCAGACATGCGCGCCACCATCCGTGATTAATATAAGTTGAAAAAACGGGGTACAGTCGTTTCGGTACCCGGTAGTTTCGGTACTTCAAAAAGAACAGGTTTCGGTACTTTTTGTAAGTAGTTTCGGTACCTGTATTTAAGTTGTTTCGGTACTTTTTGTAAGTAGTTTCGGTACCTGTATTTAAGTTGTTTCGGTACTTTTTGTAAGTAGTTTCGGTACCTGTATTTAAGTTGTTTCGGTACATTTTGTAAGTAGTTTCGGTACCTGTATTTAAGTTGTTTGGTACTTCAACAATTTTTTCGGTACTTCGTTTATTAGTTGATAAATATTTCTCATTTGTTATTTATTGATGGTTGTTTATTAAACGTTTGGGTTTTTTATACTTAAAAATTATTGCAATTATTAACTTAACATATCTTATATATGTCCCGCTTTACTTAGCAGTAAAAATAACAGTACAAACTCATTTTGCGGTACCCTCACGTGTAAAAAAAACACTTATGTCACTGACATATTAAATATCAAGTTCGTGCTTATATCAAATATACATGGACTGTATCAAAACAAGCAAAGACCACTTCAGAAAATGTATTAAAGAAAGATATTAGAAACATGAGCAAATCAAAATAACAAACTGATACAAACACGTGTATTATAGCACAAGTTTGACTCAACACCTAGAGTTACTTCCCTTGAAGGTATACAGCACGCAAAAAGTGTTGACGTTGACTATAACTTGGTACCAAAATGTGTTTTCCATAAGTACCGAAACGATTTTCAGAAATACCGAAACGACTTTCAGAAATACCGAAACGACTTTCAGAAATACCGAAACGACTTTCAGAAATACCCAAACGACTTTCAGAAATACCGAAACGACTTTCAGAAATACCGAAACGGCTTTCAGAAATACCCAAATGACTTTCAGAAATACCCAAACGACTTTCAGAAATACCCAAACGACTTTCAGAAATACCCAAACGACCGGGTACCCAGGCGACCTGAATTCCTCTCCCCAAACTTTTTTTTGGCCACAATTATCATCATTTTTAACTGCTATTTCTCGCCTCTGCGTCTACATGAATGAAATTCTCCCATAAGTTTATTTCTACCTCGTAGCTCCGCTCGTCGATACATTAAAAATATGGTATACTACAGTTATCACTTACTTTTAAAATTAAACTTTATTTAATTTACAACGATTTCGAAACAAGTTTTTTCGAATTCTGGTCGTTCACTTTAATTCGCCGTCTTCTAAATCAGCGCCTGATATTGTAGTAAAGCAGAGCTAATCGTATACCTTGTGAAAGCAAAACATTGATAGATAAATGAATCAATGAATAAATAAATAAATAAATAAATAAATAAATAAATAAATAAATAAATAAAATGGGGAGAGAAAAACTAATAACAAAAAATATAAATTGCAAAGTGTTGAATCTAATCTCTCTGCGGGCCGGTCTTAATTTTAAATTTATATTTTATCAATGTCGTATAAAAGAAGTATGCATGATTTACGAAAAGATTTATATATCGGTGATACGGAAAGAACCGCGAACCCTTTTGATGGGAGTTGATCATGAAGAGAATGTTGAATGGGTCCGACTCGGATGCGAATGAGGCTACAATTTTTCGCCTTCACCGTCAAGCGCCAGATTGACCTAGATGTTCAGGTAACAAACTATGCAAAATGTCGGACTACGACAACGTCCTGATGCCAAAACTATACAGGTAGGCATGGTTAACAAAACTGTGTCATTACTATATTTACGAATATATTGACTGAACACTCGCTTGATCATCAAAATTGAATTTTATTTCCATTGTTCTGGGTTTTATAAAAGGTATTTGAAAGTAAGATCCGTGTGTTGGACTATGAGTCACCCACTTTCGTTTTCAAGCACAGGAAGTCTGCAAACTGTTGTTGATCACTGACGAAATATCAGAAATCTTTCTGTCATCTGTGGAGCTTTTATGTATAAATCTACTCTCTTGTCCATTTTATTACAGTTTTATGTATGATTAAGTGTTACCTCGGACAATGATTTTCATATCTTGTACATAAACTAAATATACACCTCGGACAAAAACTAAGCACTGTCGATCAAATTAAATACCTTGAGGCAGAGACGTATATGGCTTTATACGTCTCTGCTTGAGGTCATCATATATCAGCAACTTAAGGTTATTGGTCATGGCTCACGGCTGATCATGAGCGTACCAGGGACAGTGAGTACCCCCAGTATCTATACTTTACCCCCCAGTATCTATACTTTACCCCCAGTATCTATACCTTACCCCCCAGTATCTATACTTTACCCCCCAGGATCTATACTTTACCCCCCACTATCTATACTTTATCCCCCCGTATCTATACTTTATCCCCCCGTATCTATACTTTACCCCAAATATCTATACTTTACCCCCCACTATCTATACTTTATCCCCCCGTATCTATACTTTATCCCCCCGTATCTATACTTTACCCCCAGTATCTATACTTTATCCCCCCGTATCTATACTTTACCCCCCACTATCTATACTTTATCCCCCAGTGTCTATACTTTACCCCCAGTATCCATACTTTTCCCCCCAGTATCTATACTTTACCCCCCCGTATCTATACTTTACCCCCCCGTATCTATACTTTACCCCAAATATCTATACTTTACCCCCCCGTATCTATACTTTACCCCCAGTATCCATACTTTACCACCCAGTATCTATACTTTACCCCAAATATCTATACTTTACCCCCCAGGATCTATACTTTACCCCCCACTATCTATACTTTATCCCCCCGTATCTATACTTTACCCCAAGTATCTATACTTTACCCCAAATATCTATACTTTACCCCCCACTATCTATACTTTATCCCCCAGTATCTATACTTTATCCCCCCGTATCTATACTTTACCCCAAGTATCTATACTTTACCCCCCACTATCTATACTTTATCCCCCCCTATCTATACTTTACCCCCCCGTATCTATACTTTATCCCCCAGTGTCTATACTTTACCCCCAGTATCCATACTTTACCACCCAGTATCTATACTTTACCCCAAGTATCTATACTTTACCCCAAATATCTATACTTTACCCCCCACTATCTATACTTTATCCCCCCGTATCTATACTTTACCCCAAGTATCTATACTTTACACCCCAGTATCTATACTTTACCCCCCCGTATCTATACTTTACCCCCAGTATCTATACTTTACCCCAAGTATCTATACTTTACCCCCCAGTATCTATACTTTACCCCCCAGTAGCTATACTTTAGTCTGACTATTCCTACGTGCTGATCATAGTGCATCTTGAAGATTTCCTGTACACTTTTACTGTTGATGATCATGAGGGTATCGGGTTGTTTCGCCCTAAATTGATTTAAACATATTTATTGCCTGAAATTTGAGCTGAGGATTTGGCACAAGTTATATCAACTAATTAATCAACTCCTTTTCCTCTAGTACAGTGCATATTGATATGTACATGTCAGCATTTAACAAGGCATACATACATACATGTAATATACTTAACAATGATTATATTTTTTTCTTAAAACCTGTTGCTGGATTTGATGAAAAATTACGCGTGTGTGATTACTTCTATATTGGCATCTACAGACAGATTTTCATTACCAAATAATAATAAATCTAAATTAACTTAAGAAGTACATGTATATTCAATGAGTGTGATTCGTGCTGTATTAAAAAGCTAACATTCTAAGAAAAAATGCCAAACATCCTCACAGGAATGTCCACAAGCTTAAGGTCATTGGAGTATATTGATAAACGAAAACAGGAAGTACATCCCTGGTTGAATATCCAATGTAGGGAGACGGCATCACAATTTCTGCAAATTCTAATGTTTAACATTAAATTGATGAATATTGTATGTTTATTATTGACAGAACAGTGTGTTCTCTCAATATTAAAGTATTTAAAAGCAATCCAGGCATTAATTCAGGTTTTTTTAATCAATGAGTCACATTTTTCTGTACTTCAGGAAACCGGCTACCTATTTCACTACTGTGAAGTTTTTCAAGAACGATAACTCTTACCTGCAATTACTATGTGTATATGGTTTTATTATAAAATGTCAATTTTTATATCGTGTATAGAGAATTTATTTTACACAATTTCAGCATTTATTAAATTGATATACATTGATGCAATACTAATATATGTCAGTATCATTTTTATTGACATTATTTTGTAAAAATATTGTGTCTTTCATTTTTTTTTCAAAATTCACTCCTTTTTACATAAATTTCCATTTAAAATCCTTAAAATTCTGACAACCTATTTTTTTTTTGTGCCAGAAAATTTTCTTTACTTTAAAGCAATATAATTAAAAAATTTGAAGAAATTCTACTGAGAAATGGTGACACAATCCTATTACCTTAAGCTGGATTATCAACAATCTTAACACGGAACAAATCACTGATGCCTGGGTTTCGTATATAATACATTTATATGCATATTGCATTTGCCAAAATCATTATAAGATGGAGACAAATTTGCACCACTAGATATAGAAGATTTGAAAGTATTTAAAGATGGTAATGTTCTTTTTGTATTGTCTAATGAATTCCAAAGACGTAAACTTGATGGCAGAAAAGAGAAGTTGCTTGAGGAGAATCTAAAAGAAGGAATATTGTAATCAGTTTGGTTCCGTAAATTAATGATACCATAACCGATTGTTGGAACCCTGCACTGTGTTTGGCAAAAGGGCCAATAAATAGCTGGGGGTTAATTATAAATTGTTTTCCATTTATATAATATTCAACTTGCGCCTTTTTCTCCTCTTCTCCTCACTGATAGTGTTTCTAGTCCCGTTTCAAAATATAATAGTTAGATAATTTTGCCCTAAATCCCCCCCCCCCTAAAAATATTTGGTTCAATATTTTAGAGCAACACATTTTAGTCCTATTTCATATTAAAGTGTATGGCTAATTAGTTGTTTTTCTATTGATTGTTACGTCATTGGTTTGTGTGAGAAAATTACGTCGTTTTCTCAAAAATTGATGAGGTTACCCTCACAAACAGGTGACGTAACAATCAATACCTGCTACCAAGAGAAGATAACTCTGCAATATGCAAAGATGGAATAGGTCTCCCTTAGCACTTTCTGTCTATAATTAGGTGTTGCTTTTCCGGCGGTGGTGGTGTCAACATTAAGTTTTTGCGTTTAAGTTAGTTTCACTGAAAGTATAAATGCTAGAACAACCAAACTTGGACCATAGATGCATCTTACGTAGTACATCTCAGCCCATGCATCAAAAGCATCTCCATCAACATTAAGATTTTGCTTTTAAGTTAGTTTCTCTGAAACTATTGCCAGACCAACCAAACTTGACATATACATTGATGGTTAAAGCGGGGCACAGACAAAACACATCAATCCGAATGGCTAGTTTTGTAATTTTACTCATAAGATTTGTACGTGGTCAACAGCTCTACACATACAATTGCAATGTAGCTACAGATGCATGAAATTCTTCGGACAATAAAAATACTGTAACAAAAGTCCACAAAACCAAGGACTAATAGATCTAATTCCTAAAAAAATAAAATAATGTTAACCCTTTCACCCCTAGGTAACTTTAGTAGACTCTACCATACATTCATCTGGATGAGTCAACTATGGTTAACTGTGGTGAAGGGTTAAACACTTCAACTGATATTCATAGCTGAAAAATATATGTAGCCAGGTGTAACCAACAGGTACGTCACATTTCTGTCCCCGCACGCGTAGTAAATGTGCATGTACTATACATGACCTCTGTTACATATATATATACATTAAGGCGAAACAACCTTGAGTGAACTGGATTTAGAGCGAAACGACCCGTCCGCGGTGCGAATGGGATTTAGGGCGAAACAACCCATATCCGTTGATGATATTTATCTGGCTGTTTATTCCAGTCTTTAGCTATGGATGGAATAAATCAATGTTTATATACTACAACTACCACTAGCCCTCCACCACTGGGTCACAGGTTCGAGACCTAAATGGGGCAGTCGCTAGGTACTAGCCGTAGGTCGGTGGTTTTTCTCCGGGAACTCCGGCTTTCCTCCACCAACAAAACCAGATACGCCCTTTAATGACCATTGCTTTTGATAGGACGTAAAACACAAACAAACCCAACTAATGGGGTTTGATACCAGGCCATTTACTATATTATAGAAAAGTACTAGATGCTGTTGTCTAGTGTGTTCTGACAGGGGCTGCCACTGAAGGTCATGTAATGCTTTAGTCATATTAGCCTGCCAGCTATACTTGTTTCTAGAGCTGGTCAGTATTCCATGTAATCCTGCAACTGAAAACAATCTGCATGTTGGGATCATACTGTATAGCAGGCTATTTCTGCAGCGATGATATTTTCACGATTTTGCGGGTCAATAATGTGATCGCGAAAATATGATCTGCAGAATATGAAGACCAATGAGCCGGGATAATAAACCTCATAATCGTAATGTCTTCACGAAATAGCATGCTTGTTGCTATGACAATTCATATATACATAAAGAGAAATGATGTGTGAAAATAAGCTATATCACATATCTAATAGTTCTGATGATGATTTGTTTTACAAAATATAATTACTTGTTGTTGCTAGTTATGCTGTGATATAGCCTATAATCATTTGACTATTTAACTTTTTTTTATGCTGGATGTCCTGTCTCTGTGCTAAAACACCACGGAAATTTTAGTTCCATTAAATATCTAGATTGCAAAATTATAATCCGTGTTAATTTATAATTTTCTAATTTGAGTCAAAATCGTGAAAATTTAAGCCGTCATAAATAACTGCTATATGGTAGTATTTAATTGAATTTAATTGAATATTATGTTCTGTTATTTCATTGTTTTTGTTGTAGGTTGGTGTTTCCGGGGGGCTAAGACGACACTAGCATGCGTGCTGTGGTGACTTCGGTGTGGCTTTTAAGCCTTCTGTCTTGTCTGGCAAATAGCTTAGGTAGGTTTTTACCTTACAAACATCTCTCTTCATATGAACCTGACTGGCCGTTGCGACTACATTATACTCAAATACAAATAAAAATTGTACAAGTTTCTAAAACTTGTTTCTCCTGTTAGCTCCGTAACTTCAGTTTGACTTAGGGGTTTGGTTATATTTTATTTAAAGTCTTATTAACAGCTACATGTAAGGTAATTTAAGGACGTGCCTCCATTTCTGTTGTGTTAAAACACTTTTGAATGATCTCACAAGCACCAATTATGTCTTCCTGCCATTTTGTTTCACACATACAAACAACCTTGACTTCTACAGAACAAGAGTTCTCATAAAGGGAAGTAACTATTGGTAGTGTCAATACAACAGTTCCTTTCCTTGCACTGTCATATAAGATCAACATGTTGTGTATGCGTGTATGCTGGAGACAGGGTATGTTGGTGTACTTGCCTCCTTGTGATAGCGCGAATCTGATGCCGACTTTATAGTGCTATCTCACTGAATTAAAACATTAAGCAGGGAATAACAGCTACCATTTTTATGGATTTTGGTCTTTTGTTGCGGCCTTGGGATAGAACCCACTACCTTTCTCACCTGGGCAAACGTTCAACATTAAAGCCAAAAGTGAGGTATTGCCGAGCAAGGTGTTAGGAAATAAAAGGTAGTAATTAGAAGTAGGGAAAATTATAAAGATCCCAAATATTGCAATGGGTGCAGCAGATTTATTTCTGGGTTTACCTTATCTACATAAATGATGGTACATTAACTCATTCACCCATGAAGACACATTTGAACTCTTCCAATTCAAAGGTTGGAATAGTTTATTATGAAATTTCAGGGGTGAATGAGTTTAAAATATTTTCCAATTATGACCTGTAATGTAAAATTTAATACTGTACACCAGGAAATGTTTGCCCCTTCAATGTTAAAAATCAATGTTCGCCCTATATAAAATTTGGCCTCCTTATCTAAATTCTATGTATATTATGTTGTTTACTAACATTCGCTGAAAGGATAAATTTGTCCTCGTTAGGGGGGGGGGGGGGGGGAAAGGCAAAAATCAAACTGCAGCAAAAATGTCCTGGTATACAGGAAACAATTTTCCATGTCAGTTTGTAAATTATAATGAAGGAAGGGTACTCTTGAACAAGAAAAAAAGGGATTATAAGAAATCGGGCACATATTACTTAGATTGTAATGTGATATCGGTTTATATATATTGGAACAGAAAATATTATTGACATGAATCATTATGTTCATGTGAAAATATTTACATTTTCTTTGCATTTACAACCCTTATAGAAAATACTACATGAATTGACCCATGACAACAGTTATAACTGTGGTACATCTTGTACATTTGACTGTTTTCCAATTGGAACTCTTTCGGTCATACTTTTACGATTATCAGGGACCTGAAAAGATGCAGTGTCATTTTCAAGTTATAATGTTTAGCATCACTAAACCGTGCAAGCATTTCCTGCCTTAACCCATTCACCCCTTAAGTCACATTTGAAGCTTATATCGATTATGGAATTTATAATCAAAATCGGAAAGGACAAACCAATCGATTTTCGATTAATAGTCTATCATCAGCCTATCACCAGTTCGAATAGAACTGTTAAATAATAAATGTTAAAAACATGAATTTCAATCCTTAAATGTTAAGTCATACTAATGAAATATAAAATCCATTTCTTATTATGTTATTTTAAGGAGAACAGCCAGACGTCGCCATTCATCTCTGTAAGATACCCCTGATCGGATCAAACTGGTCGCTGTGCTGTGCAACTAAAGACATTCACTCGGCGACCGTCACTTTCTTCCACCAATCACCGGAGAGTTCAAAGTTCACAGACGTAGCTGTGGTGAAGCATACATGTGATACTAACACCACCTCTAGTGACTATAATGTGGCATGTGATGTTTCGAAGGTCAAAGGTCAACGGGACCTCATTCTGACAATTCTCAACCCAAGCTTGCAGCAAGACATTGGTAAATGGGGATGTGGTTATTATGGGAAGACGTCGTCGCTGGTGATCCTGGAGACACAAGGTTGGTACATAAAGGTTAACAATACATATAGGATCTTACATGAGTTTCCATTTCATATGAGATTTATGACACAAGTCTTAAGAATTTTTCAATATAGCGAGCCTCTGGCGAGCTAAAATGAAAAATTTGTGACAAGTTTCATCAATTTCATATGAAATGAAAACGAGTATAAGATCCTTTTTATCACATAATCAAGATTTGTGGCATTTATTCCTGTAAATCGACAATTTTCATGCAACCTTGAAATGTAAAGAGCCGCCATTTTGACTCCAGTGCGTAATTCTGTGATGTTGTGTACTTGTCCTAGGCGTGACGTCACAATTGAAACAAACAACCAATCACAGGGCTGATAGGTCATATTACATGGGTTAATACGCAAATAAATATGACATGGGTATACTAACTGGATAACACAGTACATTATGTGATAAATCAGGTTATACATGTATGTATCTAGGGCGGTCGGGTGGTGCAGTTGGTACCGAACTTGCCTTTCATTAAGACGGCTAGTAGATAATCCAGCCATCTTTGTTCCCAAAAGAGAATCCAGTCATCCTTGTTCCCAGTAGATGGTCCAGTCATCTTTGTTCCCAGTAGATAGTCTAGTTATCTTTGTTCCCAATAGATAATCCAGTCATCTTTGTTCCCAGTAGATAGTCTAGTTATCTTTGTTCCCAATAGATAATCCAGTCATCTTTGTTCCCAGTAGATAGTCTAGTTATCTTTGTTCCCAATAGATAATCCAGTCATCTTTGTTCCCAGTAGATAGTCTAGTTATCTTTGTTCCCAATAGATAATCCAGTCATCTTTGTTCCCAGTAGATAGTCTAGTTATCTTTGTTCCCAGTAGATAATCCAGTCATCTTTGTTCCCAGTAGATAATCCAGTCATGTTTGTTCCCAGTAGATAATCCAGTCATCTTTGTTCCAAGTAGATAATCCAGTCATCTTTGTTCCCAGTAGATAATCTAGTCATCTTTGTTCCCAGTAGATGGGCCAGTCATCTTTGTTCCCAGTAGATAGTCTAGTTATCTTTGTTCCCAGTAGATAATCGAGTCATCTTTGTTCCCAGTAGATAATCCAGTCATCTTTGTTCCCAGTAGCTAATCCAGTTATCTTTGTTCCCAGTAGATAATCCAGTCATCTTTGTTCCCAGTAGATAATCCAGTCATCTTTGTTCCAAGTAGATAATCTAGTCATCTTTGTTCCCAGTAGATAATCCAGTCATCTTTGTTCCCAGTAGATAATCCATTCATCTTTGTTCGTAGTTGATAATCCAGCCATGTTTGTTCTAAGCAGTCAAAGATGCAGAATTATGAGTTTGATTAAAACTGCGAACCTGGGGCCACGGTGGCCAAGTGGTTTAGGCATCTGACATTCTGGCACCACTAGCCATCCACTACCGGGTCACAGGTTCAAGACGTCAACTTACATAGGGCAGTCACCAGGTGCTGACCGTAGGACGGTGTTTTTTCTCCAGGAACTTCGGTTTTCCTTCACCACCAAAACCTGGCACGTCTTTAAATGACCATTATAAGCTGTTAAAATAGGCTAGGACGTAAAACACAAACAAAAAAGGATTGCTATGACAATTTTGTTAAGTGATATATACCAGCATACTACATCAAGCACTCAAAATACAGTTCACATAACAAGCATGACCTTGAATGACCTAAATAGCAAAACCTAGTTTATCACACAGGCAGGCAGTTGGGATTTAACTTTTGCATAATATATTATGCATTTCGAGTAATAATTTCACAAAGAATGTAATAATCTGGCAATTGTTTTTATGATTAAATGTTTTTGTCAGGACAGATGCTATATTTATCAAATATAGTTTCAGAAACATGTGTTTATAATTTGATTATTCACTAAAAAGAATACCCTTAGTGTTGGCTGATATGTACTCTGCAGATTGAATAATTGTGTAATGCTTAAATATTTATGAAGTACGTTTTTTTGCTTTATTAGTGTCCTGAAAAATGTGTGAAACGATAATCTGAGTTTGTTGCTCTTCTGAAAGAAATTTGAACTTATATTGATAGTAAGGTCTATTGATTATTTAAGGCGTCTGACATTCTGCTACCACTTGTCCACTAGTCCTTCACCATTGGGTCGCAGGTTCGAGGCCTACGTGCACGTGGGGCAGTTGCCAGGTACTGGACGTAGGGCGATGGTTTTACTCCGGAAACTCTGGCTTTACTCCACCACCAAAACCTGGCACTTCCGTAAATGACCATAGCTGTTAATAGGACGTAAAACACAAACAAACAAACAAACAAACTATTGATTTAAATAAAGTAGTAGTCATTCAGGTTCAAATATTGCAAGTCGGAGAAGGTCAAGAACTGATGTGAAATTTTCACCTGGTAACATTTAAACACTGTACAATATACAGGTAAGATGTTTTGATATGAGCTCAACTTTTTACAATCTTTTTTTCAGTCTTGCTTCAGGATGGAGGAGTTGTAAGAGCAAACAAATCGGAAAACGTTAGGCTGAATTTTACGATTGAGGAAATCCGTAAAGAGCAGAAGAACGTTACCATATACAATCCAGAAGGAGTCATCATCGCGAATATATCGGCGTCAGGAATGATTCAGACGGACTCAAAAGTCGCAAAAACCTTGTCGTTTGATACACAGAATGGGATTGTCTCCCTTTTATTACAAAACTTAACTTCGTCAGAAAATGGCACTTATGTATGTGAGGTTCAGCCATTGATGAAAAGATATGGACTCACTCTAATAGTTCTGGGTAAGCATAAACACATATATCATCAAAATAGTATTTTAATAAAAATGACAGGCCCAAGTTTCATGAATGCCCAGTTAGTGATTTGTTGTGGTAATTTGGGTGGTCGGGGGTGGGGGGTGGGGGGTGGGGCGCAGTGGATAGGGCACTTGCCTTCCACCAAGGCGACCAGTGTTTGATTCCCTGTGAAAAGGTATGGGGTTACCTGCCCAACCACGTGGGTTTTCTCTGGGAACTCCGGTTTCCTTCCATAATAAGAACCCCCCCCCTTCACGCTTACATCCGGGCCAACAAGAGTGATTAATATAAGTTGTAAAATCTTGTTTCATAATTGTTGTTAAATAAATGAAGATTTTTTTTTTTTTAAAGTACAATGTTTTTTTTAAGGATTATGTAACGGTATGCTAACCGATTAATAATCGAAAATCGATCGGTTGCCACTAACCAATTATATCCGATCATCGATGTTGAAATCTCAACCGATTCCCAATACTACTTTCTATAGACAAAATAACGATAATTATGTGTTATTTGTACATACAAGATTTATTTTGTAACCTATAGACTTTGATCAGAGTTTACATTCGAGAAGCGGTGCTTTTCATCAGGTTTAAGAATCTAAAATTAGGGAGTGCTTCTTCTAAGAAATTGGAATCTTTTTAAGTAACTTGAGGTATTATTTAATGGCATATTGTTAAAGTAAAAATCAAACTTAAATTTTTTATTTTATATCAATATTATGAGAAAACAAAATAGACAGAATGTTACATATACACATTCATGGTTGTTGTTTTCATTTTCAGAAAAATTGGACAAACCAAAAATAACTCCGTCAAATGTAACCCTTGACCTTACACCTAGAAAGGTCAAACATGGCACTTTGACCTGTACTGCTGTGAGAAAGTCAGCCGGCCCATATTACTACACCCCTCAGATCAGGATAAGGTGGATCTACCCCCAAATGGACGTCGGGTACAACATATTGGTCAACGGAAGTGTGCTGACCATCACAGGGGTCAATTGTACGACTAACCGGTCACAGCCGATCTTCTGTGAGGCGCAGGAGGTGTCCGGCCCCATGTCTGATCGCTCTCACTTCTATCCACACAGCCTCTGTAAGTCTCTTTATAATTTCGTCGTATTAACGTGAAACTCAATTTTTATTTTTGGCTGGTTAAAGACTTAAACTAATTAGATGTGACGTTCATTTTATCTTCAGTAAATTCAAAAATATATATGTTGCAACATGGTCACATAATTATGTTATGCAAAAAACATTTCTGCAGTGTTTGAGGAGGCACGGTAGTCTAGTGGTAGGACGCCGGGCTCGTGACCGAAGGGTTGCATGTTCGAGTCAGGGCACGGCACTGTGTTGTAACTTTGAGCAAGATACTTTACTCCACTTGTTCCAGTCTACTCAGCTGTAAATGAGTAAGTGGTTGGGCAGTGCTAGAATTGTTGAATGCTAGCTGTGAGGGCCGAAATGGCAGCTCCGGCCGGCTGTATGCTTCCCAGGGATTTGAGAAATGTATTGGCTGGTTGCAAAGGCTCTATAACCACATATAATAATATGTGAACCTCTTTGAGACGACCTACGAACTAGGTTGTGATAAAGTGGTATATAAGAACCTGGAATTCTAATTATCATTATTTTCACATGTTCATGTATTAAAGATAGCAAGAAAAATTGACCAGGATGAACTTGGTGTGTGAGCAAAGATTTATACAGATTTACATGAAGATGGCATAAAATGCTGAAACATGTAAACGATAAAAAATATTGCTGATTTAAACCTGTCGAATGTTGTCAAGCCGTTTCTATCGAAAAGATTTATAAAGGGAAAAAATAGCAGCGTCCTTCAGAGTTGATATGGTCACTGTTCAATAGGGGCCAGTGTAAGACAAAACAAAAATATGTTTTAAAACAAGGTTGCCTGTTAAAACAAACACTATAATGATCACGCTGTGAGGAATGGTCAATTAGTGATGGGCTGATGATCAATTATAATCCAAAATAGATCGGTTTGCCCTTTCAAATTCCGATTATCAATTACAAATTCCATTATAGATATAATCGGTTCTTCCTTAAAATCAAAGTGTTAAAAGTTTTCAATGTAAAAAATTACTGAAAGTCATATATTCTGATGATTTTTACTACATGATTGTTAAAACTGCATAAAAATTGCTTGAAATCCATTAATTATGAAAGAACGACAACTAGTCGTCTAGTTAACTAGTGTATTGTTAACAACTCTGTCTATTGATGTAACAGTAGTGTATAGTGAACCACTCTGTCTATTGATGTAACAGTAGTGTATAGTGAACAACTCTGTCTATTGATGTAACAGTAGTGTACTCACTGTATTTGGGTCCCATAAAATTATAAACCGATTATGGAATCGATCATTGATTAGTTTTCTGTTTCCGAATACAAACTGATTATTAGTTACGATTTTAAACCGATTGCCCATCGGCATCACTATGGTCAATTGACGTAAGTGGTCATGAGTTGTATTTAACTCGTATTTAACTCATTCACCCCTGAAGACACATTTGAACTCTTCCAAATCAAAGGTTGGAATAGTTCATTATGAAATTTCAGGGGTGAATGATGAGTTAAGGGGATAGAGCGTCCTTTTGAGAGTCTTTAGCAACAAATTGAACATGCAATTTGGTTGATACTTTTTACCTCATCAGTATGGACAAAACAACATACCATACCCATTCTAATATGCTTTAATCATTCATCCCCTAAAATTTCATAATGAACTATTCCAACCTTTTAATTGAAAGAGTTCAAATGTGTCTCCAGGGGTGAATGAGTTAACAGATACTACATTTGTATTTTAAGAAATATAGTATTTGTCTAGCTTTAAGTTTGTAGTGAAATGTAGTTAAGGACATGTACAATGTACTGTGACCTGTGTTTATGACGTGTTACTCTACAGTGGACTGACCAATCAGAAAGAGGCAGTTTAACTTTCGCCTTTTCGACGTTCACCGTAATGAGGCCAAATTTATCACGATGGTTCAAATAAGTACATAAAATACCATGCATAACAACAATGTGTGAAGGGCGAAAATAACACTGCGCGAAAACGGATTATACCAGTGAAGGGCAAATATTTTCTTGGGCAAAATTTTCCCAGTATAGCAGTACTAAGACACAATATTTCCGTTATTACAGGTAACTGGAGCCCAAGCACGCCAGTGCCGCCGACAATCATACAGGGCGGAGACAAAAACGACAGTGACCGTTCTCTTCTCATCGCCATGGGTGTTATTGGAAGTGAGTTTGTTTAAATATGAACTATATATCTTTTACAATAATTATGAAAGAAAGTTATTACAACTTATATAAATCACTTATTTTGGCCCAGATGTTAGCAAGCAAGGGGTCTTAATGAAAACCCATCTGGGGGAGCAGGTGACCGCCATACCATTTTATGTCCAATCAGGGCATTGATACCCTGCTGCCTTGGTGAAAGGGGAGTGCATACAATCCACTGCGACACCTGACCACCATTTTTTTTTAAAGTTTGTTTTCACACTATTGAGAAAAAACACACATTTTAATATCCTTTTTACCTATAAAATAGTGATATTTTCTGTAAACTTGTTTGGAAATGTGATATTTTCTGTAAACTTGTTTGGAAATGTGATGCCTTTGCTAGTTATAATATATGGTTTTATTTGTAAAAAAAATCACACTATAGAGAACAAATGGACACATTTTCGTTTCATTTTTTCTGGCAAAAGGATCTGTTTGTGAACATGCTTAAAATTTTATATGTTTACTAGTGATGATAAAAGATAAAAGTATAATATGGTTTTACAAATGTATGATACAATTGTTACAAGTTATTTGCCATTTTTTTCAGTTCTTGGATTTGCACTGTTCGGAGTGATGTTCTGTGCTGGGTAAGTCGAGAATCTTTCTCACAGATATGTATCAAATTTTATATGAGGCAAGGAAGTGATTCCGACATTGTAGACAATATGAGGTTGTCAGATTTTCTGAGCAATACATTGTGTCTGTTATCGCGACACAGAAGAACATAGAAAAATTACATTAAATAAAAACAAAATATAAATACATATAACTAAAATTCAAAAGCAATAAACCCCTTGGCTACCATAAGCCAAAGGCAGAATTTACAAATATATATGAAACCAAGGTCAGTTTTTGCCAAATGTGCTAGTAAGACATCCTTTTCCCATCACAATATCTTTTATCGTAAGACAGATATTATATCCCTTATTGTCGCAGGACAGTGTCTTAACAGAGGATAGTATATCCTAACTTTCTTGTTTTTACATTCATAAAAGACATGTTTAGAGTTGTAGTCTTTTGGAGAATAAGTGACATAATTTCATATGTCACAGTAAGGTACGTAGCATACACCCTTAAGTCTCCGTGTCACAGTTAGGTAGCATACACCCTTAAATCTCCATTTCACAGTAAGGTAGGATACACCCTTAAGTCTCCATGTCACAGTTAGGTAGTATTCACCCTTAAATTGTTTATTTTTTTGTTTCCAGGAAGAAGAATGTGGGCCGGTGCTGCAGCTTCTGTTGTAGAAAGATTTGTCGGTGCTGTGGCCGTACAATCTGTCGAAAGTGTACCAAGATGGGTAAGTTACAAAATTTTAATGTACAAAGCCACAGGTGCTAAATACATTATTTGGTGAACAGTATAATATATCCTGTATCAAGTGAACAACCAGTCCAAAAGTGGTCTCTTAATGGAGGTGGTCTTTTAATAGAGGTGGTCTCTTAATGGAGGTGGTCTTTTAACACAGGTAGTCTCTTAATAGAGGTGGTCCCTTAATGGATGTGGTCTCTTAATAGAGGTGGTCCCTTAATAGAGGTGGTCTCTTAATGGAGGTGGTCTCTTAACATAGGTGGTCTCTTAACACAAGAGATCTCTTACTGGAGGGGGCACTTTATAGAGGTGGTCTCATAATGGAGGTGGTATCTTAACACAGATGATCTCTTAATGGAGGGGGCACTTTATAGAGGTGGTCTCTTAATGGAGGCGGCCTCTTAATACAGGTTGTCTCCTAATGAAAGTGGTCTCTTTACACAGGTGGTCTCTTATCACAGATGGTCTCTTAACACATGTAGTCTTTTAATGGAGGGTGCACTTTATAGAGGTGGTCTCTTAATAGAGATGGTTGTTTAACACATGTTGTCTCTTAATAGAGATGATCCCTTAATATGGGTGGTATCTTAATGGAGGTGGTCTCTTAACACATGTGGTCTCTTAATGGAGGGGGCACTTTATAGAGGTGGCCTCTTAATACAGGTGGTTTCCTAATGGAAGTGGTCTCTCAACACAGGTGGTCTCTTATCACAGGTTGCTTCTTAACACAGGTAGTCTTTTAATGGAGGGTGCACTTTATAGAGGGGGTCTCTTAATGGAGATGGTCTATACCAATAATAATTTACTATCAAACAAATATGACAGTTATTACTTATCATATAAATTGAAAATTCTAACTTTGAGTGTTGTATTTTTCGCAGTTACTGTTTTGGGTTTTCTTTGGCAAAAAAATACAAATTCCCAAAAAAAATCAGAACACTGCAAAATAAAACAACTTTAAGTTTTGTGGTTAGTCTTTGGTTTGGTTACAGTGCCAGTAATAGGAATTCTGTAAGGAAAGTGACGCTCTTATCAGAGGAATCCGTTAACCTCTGTATTTTAGCTATTCCCCCCAAAAATATAAATTTACACTCCAGACTTGTGCAACAAATAATCAGAATGAGAGATACTTCAAGTTATTTTACAATTTTTTATTTCAGAAGATGATGAATTCTACTCGGACTACATCAGTAACATGACACGTGAAGCAGATGATCCGTACTTCACCATCTCCCGGGACCGGGGAAGTAACTGGCGTGATCTTCTGAATGTATACTCTCCGGGAGCTGACATGTCCTTGCCCTTACCTCCGGCACTGAGGGAAAGTACAAATACAGGTGAGACAGATGCTTTTATTGAGATTCTGTACAGTCTAATGATGGGCCATCGGTTTGACTCATTCACCCCTGAAATTTTGTGATGAACTATTCCATCCTTTGAAATGGAAGAGTTCAAATGTGTCTTAATGGGTGAATGAGTTAAAATCAGTTTGTTATCGGATGTAGTAAACTGATTGATAATTAATTGCATAATCAGTTCTGAATTTTATTGAACCCAGTTGTTCACTATTCATTAGGTTTTGTTCTTCTATAATGAATGAATATCAAACAACTTTTTTTATCAATCATATGGTATAAATCATAACAATATATGACTTTCAAAGCATACTGCACATTAGCCCGAGTTTCCTCTGGCTCTATCACCAGACTTGGACTTTTTGACATATAGATGTCTGGTGTGGGGCTAGAGCGCACTGCTATATGATAACGTGGAATTCTCCGTCACCCCCTTTTTTTTCCGCTGTGAATAAACTGACAATCAAAATTCTCTTATATAAAAGCTTTAAGATGACACCTTGTAATCATATACTTAACCGTACAATCTGGTTCTAGATGAGAACGAGAATGAAGAAAGCGGCCCGAACACAGCAGCTGTAGCAACTAACGACGTGGTGGTGACCGGGGCTGAGGGAGTTGACCGCAGTGTTCTCATAAAGGAGGTAGAGCATGGTAAGTAAAGGAATTCATTACCTGTTACAGGCCTGTCATTGAGGGAGACTAACAGAATCTGGGGCCTCCTATTGGCCAATCATTTACCTTAGAAACAAGGGTTGTCATTGAGGGAGACTAACAGAATCTGGGGCCTCTTATTGGCCAATCGTTTACCTTAGAAACAAGGGCTGTGATTGAGGGAGACTAACAGAATCTGGGGCCTCCTATTTGCCAATCATTTACCTTAGAAACAAGGGCTGTCATTGAGGTAGACTGACAGAATATGGGGCCTCCTATTGGCCAATCATTTACCTTAGAAACAAGGGCTGTCATTGAGGTAGACTGACAGAATATGGGGCCTCCTATTGGCCAATCATTTACCTTAGAAACAAGGGTTGTCATTGAGGGAGACTAACAGAATCTGGGGCCTCCTATTGGCCAATCATTTACCTTAGAAACAAGGG